CTCCTCCTCCTCCTCCTCCTCCTCCTCCTCGTCCTCCACGATCACCACCAGCTCCTCCTCAACGACCAGCTCCTCCTCCTCCTATGTTCTCCTACTACTGCTACTATTGCTACTACTTCCTTCTCCTATGTCCTTCTCTTCCTTCTCCTACCTACCTCCGATTACCTCCTCCCTCCTCTTCTCCTTATCTCCTACCTCCTCCTGGCTACCCCTTCCTACCGCCTCGACTTTCCTCTTCCTCTCCTCCTCCTAACTCCTTGCGTAATCATCATCAACACCACCACCTCCACCATCACCACCACTTATCACTTATCTTATGATGTTGAAAGACCCTGACATCGCAAAACAATGTTTAGAAACGCAGAGACCGCTCGGAGACCGCCAATAGTTCAGAAGATACTCGATGCGAATGCAACGTGAGATGATGGTGTTTGCGGATGGCAGAAGTCAGTGAGAGTTCTGCAGGGAAATAAAGGAGACAGTCAGGACTTCAAAGGCTTTTGTCGACCTCTTCGAGCGGCATGTCCAAGAGAACGACATCCAACTCGCGTACCATCACAGACTCTCAAGGTCGGTGGGAACCTCACCAACATGGCAGGAGGTTCAACTTCCTCAAGATGTCAACATTTTATGAAAACAGCACTGTTTCCAACAATTGCACGGTCTTCCCATATCACCTCATGTTGCAACAGCTTACCAACTACGTGCAGGGAAAGCCGCAGGCTGGAACACTTGCGCTAGTGCTGATATTCCAGTACTACTCTGGGAGGTAAACAGCTCTTGCATCTCACCCTGCGGGTTGACGTTGAGGTCCAGACGACAATTTGATCACATTCAGTCTGCTCAAGTCTTTACGTTTGAAGACATCAAGGCTATCAACTCAACGATTGATCAGGTTCCTCCTGCTCCGTGCCCATGCACACACCCTGTCATACAGTGACAGCCACACAGCCCGAGCTCTGGAAGTTCATGAAGGAATTCTTCCCAGGAGTGTTCACTAAGAGCGAGGTACGGTACTTCTCTTCTAGGCAAGAGTTGTAATCACTAGCTCCAACAGATCGCCTGGATGTTCAAGATGGCGAATTCCATGGAAGGTGTTTCAGATGACAACTCATTCTTGCTTCATTTCGACGAGTTTGTTGCACTTCTCTGTCAGATTGGCTGCCAACTGTGAAGTCTTCACTTTGATCCTCCTTGCTCTGATCTTGTTGCACTACAGATATCGTGGAGACTCTGTGGATGAGATTGTGAGGAAACTAGGGCTGCGCATGGGTCTCAATGACCCCATCAACGTTCGGAACCATCTGGTGTCCCTTCACTCTCTCGGCTCCTCCTCCGCATGCTCACATGCCCAAAAGGCGAAACTTGGCAGGCAGGACGCAGGTTTTGGAGCATGGAAGAGCGACGAGCCGATCAGACCTCTGTGTGCGGAGGGGAACGTTCGGGTATGTGCGGGAGTTCCAGGCACTGGCGTGTTGACCTCTCGTTACGAAGGTCCCGTTGGGTGACCATGCTGCATCGTGGATACTTTCAAACGATGAGATGCTGTCGATGAAGGCGAAGCTTGTTCAAAACTTCCCATCTCTGGAGGTTTTGCTGCATTGTTGACCTCTGAATGACGTGAAGGAATGATTGCAGGTGCCGGACTGGATGTCGTTCCCTGGACAATACGTCGCCCTTGCCTTTCCTCAACATGGGTTCGTGCTTGACACTCCTCGTGAGGTTTGTTCACAGCAGACAGGGTGAGGAATGGGAAGCAAATTCGGTTCCGCATCTCCATCCGCAGCGTTGCTCCTCGCCTTGTTCAGGTTCTGCTATGTGAAGAAGAAATCTCAGGGAATGAACGAGAGTGTACAGCTGTGGTACCGCCTTGAAAACCTGGACGGCATCTCAATCAAACAAAAATCTTCTCAATTGATCGCAACTGGAATGGACTTCTTGCTTGTCGGGACTATCAAAGCTTGAAGAAAGTTTCCTAACGCGGCTTGTAGGATTTCTCCCTCAAGGGTATCCAGCCCGGCATTCATCTCGGAGGGGTCGTCTTCTCGGCCGAGGTGGACTGAGACGTGTGCACGTGTGCTGGCGATCTGAAGTCCAACTGCAGGAGGGAGGAACAGAGTTGTTCCGGTGCCCTGTTTACCTCCAAGTCATCGACCTCCGCGACCTCGACGAGAATGTTCTGACCAAGATAGTGGCGGCCTCTGTGAGACCATCTCTGACTCGATCCCCGACGCCCTTGACGCTCACTGCAGATAGAAGAAAGGACCCTCCGAATGAAACTCGCGGAGACTGCAGAAGACAACTCAGCTATCAACGCAACACACCTCCAGCAGGTTCCCCAGCGATGCTTCTCAGCTGCTCGAACCGTGACCCCACGCGCAGGCTCTGGACGATTTGGGGATGCCGTCACTCGTAGGCGATGTCCATGACTTCATGAGGATGCTTGCACCTGAGGATGGAGAGACTAGTATAGACCAGGTGGAAGTTTGAACCCTTGACTTTGGTCCGATGATCCAGCTTTCTCCACAGCTCATGAGGAAAATTTACCGGCCCTCGAGACAAAAAGTAGACAGCAAGGTCGTGACTCACGATCCTGGATTGGACTGACATGGTTGTAGAGGTCCATCGCAGCCAAACAGAAGGATGAGATTCAGAAGGTTGTTTACGAGACTGGGCTTGCTGCCGTGATCACAGTCAAGCACTCGTTGGAGATCACAGAGCTTCAGCAGAACTATCAAGACACCCTCTCGATCATACAAAGCTCCCCAACAAGGTTCAAGAACGCAGGATTGATGTCGGGCTCGGTCAGCGTAGAGCCAAGCAAGACCTTCAGCGAGAGCGGCACAGAAAACTTAGGGAGGAGGAAGTCAATTACGTGATTGCAGTTATCTCTAGGTAGAATGTACAATAAAAACTTCTTGACATCAAGTGAGGCATCATGTCCTGATTCTTCTGAATCATCATGCCTCTGAAACCTCCTCCCCCTTGCGCTTCCACCTATTGTGCATCCAAAGGTACTGCTCCGGAGATCGGAGCACCTCTTCTTCCAAGAGCTGATTGTATGCCTCAACAAGTTTCTCTGCTTCAACCTTCTGCTCGCCATCGGACGTTCTCTCATGGATTCTCTTTGCAACAATATCAAACATCCCGTCAGCATCCTTGCAAACCACAAACCACAGGCTTTTGCAGGCTTCAACCTCTGTATACATCCTCGCAAACCCGGAGTGGCAAGTCGTTTGTCTGCCAAGGAAGTTGCACGTGATACCAGAGCTGGAGGAGCACCTCTGATCGGGAAGGATACCTACGAGCCCTCCCCTCTCCAGCACTTGTTGGAGGAGGCCTCTGCTTCCTCGGCTCTGGACCATGCAGCAGTGATCTCTGTAGCTGGAGTCTGACAGACGGAGGTCCCTTAGGACCTGATCGACTTGCGCGTCATGCAGAGGCTTGTAAACGATGCATATCTGCTTCTTGCTCCCGGAAATGTCTAGGATCCTGTTGAGAAATGGCACGAGCAGCTCCCAGTAGCCCAGGTGGGCCGACACCACCATCACAGAGCCACGGTGAAGGTCTGAACGAAGCTCGTCTATGCTGGAGTCTGTCACGCTCAACTGATGGTCCTCCTCCCAGAGGGGGAGGTGGAGGAGGGAAGCAGCGGCTCGAGCAACGTGAAGACAACTGGAGATCGCGATCTGGTTGACATTGAAGCGGCGCTGACCTTGCCTCTCCCGCAAGTACGTCTCCACAAGTCGGAGGGTCTCCTGCACCTCAAATCATCTCAAATCATCCTTACGGGATGACATACCCTCGAGCGGCGGAAGAACAAGAGGATGCTCACAGGGCTGAGGACCCACGATGCTCTTCTCGCCCACCGCAGCGGCACCAACCTTAGCGCCATCGCCATCGCTTTCAGCATTGCGTCCATTGTGTCCCACCCACCCCACCCCGTACCCCCCATTCGTCCCCTTCTTTACCCAGCTCTTTACCCTCCACCCCCACCATCACAAGAAAGAACCGAAACCCTAGTCGGAGGATTTTTACTCAGTCAAGCCCAGGCAATCGGCTCCCTCAGCACGTCTACCAACTTCTGCTCCTCGCTCCCCTCCTCAGGCTCCACGTTGTACCTGCACCGCCTGCTTTGAGGGCCAGATAGAAGAGAGGGAGGCAGGCAGAAAGTGCATGCAGAAGAGCCATTGCACGTCTTATCACCTCCAAGCAATCAAAGGAGGAGCAGAAACCATGATCGACTCCGTCCTTCCTTGACCATCTAGTCCGAATTTCTGAATCGCCACGCAAGGTGAGTCTGCGCACAAGGGAAGGTTTAGGGTGCATACCACTCCTCTGTCGTATAGCAGGTTGAACTCAAGATATCGGCCACGACGAAGGAGCTGCCACTGCGGGCAAGCGTTAGCAAAGAGCTCAGGAAGAACATGACATGCGTTTCTCTGCTTGTCCGTGAAAGGGGTCGACCTGGGAACCCACACTTGAGTAACATAGCCCCAGACTTGTGTATCAGATCTACCTCCGTCTCTCGGCAATGGGCAGATAACTTGGCATAAACCCATCTGCAACGTCCTTGACCTGGTCGAAACTCGGTAAGAGTCGCACCAGCGTTCAAGCCAATTTCATTACGAAGGGAAGAGGGTCCGAAGAGTCGCTCATTTGCGCGAGGTCGTCGAAGAAAATCCCACCTTACAGCACAAAAGTCAGCACAAGCTGCGAAACAGGTCAATCGGAGAACTGACCTACTCCTCTGTGCTCCTTGCGAGCTGGAATATAGAAATAGTCGTCACACCATTTCTTGAACTTCCCATACTGAGAAATCGACGATCATCCCATGGTTACACAGGGCAACCAGAGCTGCAGGAGGGAGCAATCACCGCCTGCGGATCATGTTTGTCGCAAATATTCTTGTAAAACGAGTGGAACTCTTTCGCATCCTGCGCTTATGGTCAAGAATCAGATCTGTCCCAGCTTGCTCCTCACCTCCGGAAACAAGTAATAAGGCGTCAGGTCCGCTCCTCCCCCATACCATCCTCCTCCCCCGACAACCTGAGAAATTGAAAACAAGATTTTAAAGGAGATCAAATTGGTCAAAGGAGGAGAGAATGTTGTAGTTGGAGGGAGAGGTGGAGGAGGAGGAGGAGGAGGAGGAGGAGGAGGGGTTCAGGCTGCATCACGGGAAGATCAACTTTTCTATCCTTCGCCTTCTTACTTGAAAGTGACGGACGTCTGCCCTGAACGTTGGAACCTGTTGTCAAACCTGAGCAACAAGGCCGTTCACAGGAGCATCATCAAAGTTCACCATGGGAGAAGCCGAGTGGAACACTAGCGAGCACGCTATGGCGCTGTAAGGCTGTCCCGCCTCTGCCTCCCGTCCCCTGCTCGTCAGGAGCTCGTCATTCGAAGGGACAGTTCCATGGCAGCAGTGAAAACCTCGAGCTCATAGCCATAGCGCGCTCCTTCGAGAGCTTCCCTTTGACGACCGACACGCTGCAAGGGCATGTGAGGCAGTCCGAGACCTCCTGACGGGCTCTGAGATCCTACCTGCATGCCGCCTTCTCCCACAAATTCCCGTCTTCCAGCACGCGGGTGATCCCGAACCCTTATCAACATTGGTGAGGTGTCGGGCAATCGCCAGGCTCTGAGACCTTGGCCTTCCCCACGATCCCATCTGTCAGTGATGAAGCTCGACTTGCCATCAGCACGCGCTGCCGTCTGCGGAAGCCGGTCAGTGGCTGCACTGAGGCCACCATGAGATTTTTGACCCGACAGATGTTCTCCTGAGTCTCTAGGATGAAGTCCTCCCACTCATCAGAAGCTTTACACAGCGGAGCCACAGGCCGAGCACGCAAAGCGTGGCTTCTCCTGCCTTGACAGAGCAAGGGCTGGCCTGACTTGCAGTGAGGAGGAGGGAGGGCAAGAGGGTTCTGACTTGCAGGACATGATCCTTACCCGTCATGAAGGCATCCCCGCTGCCCAGCAGCAAACATCCCATTGCCAACCCCAAAAGAACGGCCGCCATCTGGGCCGCCATGCCCTCAGTCCCCCAGGTGCCAAAACTCTCAGTGAATCCCGCCGGCCGGGCCCGGCAGGGCCGCGGCCGTGCCGTGCCGGGCCGTGCCATTCTCAAACTACCTTGAGCACTGAGACTTCGGCCCGGGAAGCACCTCTCCTCAGCCTAACACCGGGCCCGGCGGGCCGCCTGAAACCTGCCAGGCTGGCCGGAGGTCTCCGAATCATGTCATTTTGGCAAGTTGGCCTGTGCGACAGTTGGTAGGGTCAAGCCTCCTCGACTCTCTTGTCAGATTGTCCTCGTACTGATCTTTAACTTAACTTTGAGTAAAGCCACCATGTTCAAATCGGACTCCAGGCTCCTGAAACCTGGCCGGAGGTCTCCGTGACTTGAAAGCCCGGCCCCCACCCCCCCCTTTCACCAGCCCCGGCGCCTCCCGGCTATCCGATCACTAATAGGTCGTTGAATCAATGTAGTGATGGATCTCGAGATCCGCACTCTTTACTCAAAGTTAAGTGAAATCAGTGAGGACAACGAGGCCGATCTCACGTTCGTTGGGTGCCACCCCCTCCCTTCCCCATACGAGAACCCCACCCCTCCCTCCCCTCCAGCTCAGAAGAAAATCTCCGCACCGTCCGACGATAACCCACCCCCTGGGACCTTCATGAGGGGAAACGATGGGGTCCTCTCGGAATTAAGTTGAAAACTGCACTGCTAGTTCGAAAACTGGTAGGGTCCTGAGGCTGAAAGAGGGGGTAGTGGTACCGAGTGTGGCGATCAGAGTAGAACAGTAGTGAGAAAATTTCTGGAGCTTGAAGAGAGAACGGACAAGAAAGTTCAAAGAGGAAGAGAGATGATCGAGGTGGAGAAGAGGAACGAGACTAGACGTAAGAACAAATCGAGGAGAAAGAGAAATAGGCGAGATCCCTCAGAGAAATAGAAGTTGCACAGCACCAAGATACGGGAGGACAAGTCGAAAAGGGAAGCAATGCCAAGGCAAAGGGAGCGATGGGGGCTCGGACGGCAAATTCCTTTCTTGTTGCTTCTAGCTGACATGCAATCGACCAGAAGTGATCGTAACAGATGGGACGTCCTGTGGCTTCGGAAGAGAATAAAGTGATAGCTCTGGCATACGCCAACGCTGTAAGACCTCCGACAAATGGTTGATTGCACTCTTACCATTGTGAACTTCAGGTTTCCAAAAATTTGCCTCCATCTTCTCGCTGTTTCATACCTCGCACTGGATGGCTGTCGCTGTATGAAGGCTTCAAGGAGTGCTGCCCGTCGGCGATTCGCGGCAGCGACTCTCTCATCGGCAGACAAGGACTTACGGAGATGGAATTCAACAAGCACATGGAAAGGAACGGCTACAAGAAAACAAGGGATCGTAGCACCTTCCTGCCAACGTCTCCTTGAGAGACCTAGCGAGACGCACAGGCAAGTGAAGGGAGAGGAAACGAAAATGTTGAGATGTCAGACGCGCTGACTTGCGTTGATCACAGGTGATCGATATATCTTCAGTGGCCGTCGATGGAAGAATCCTGACGACCGAGGCGAACTTGAAGAATTGAAGCAGGCTTGGATAGGTCTCAAAAACATGATCGGCGTGTGCAGTTTTGAATCTTTCGTGCAATCCTGCCGCAATCGATATGCACGCTGTGAATATCTGGCAAATAACATGAGGATAAATCGAAGGAGACGAAGTGGCTCGACGCAACTCCAGCCGAAACAAGATGAATCCGATGCATCAACCCAGCTTGACAGCAATACATCGTATCAAGTAGCGAAAACTTCACCCTGGATGTCATCGGGTCAGTCAGAATCTCAACTGATGCTGGACGATCCACAGGATACGATCGATCCCTCAGCATGCTCAAAGGAACTGAACACAGAGTGGTTGGCTCCAAACGGGTTTGACGGGCTCCTTTCAGATTGCCTGGAGGATGTTGATCTGGGCAATGATGACCATGCACCGCTAATATGCGACCACAGCGACCTCATCTCTAACTCACTTCATTCTTTTTCTCATCCAGATGTCTGAGTCATTCCCCTTAGATTTCTAGTAAAGTTTTTGCACTCTCAGCTTGGCAAGTGTCTGACGATCAAGACAGTATGGCTGCGACACTGGTCAGAATCGAAGATGTAGATGTACTTCACTCTTCAGCCAGTAGCTCTTGGAGCACCCCTGAACCACTGCAACAGCTCCTACTCGACTCGTGCTCGTTTCAATCACTGACGGGGAAACGGAGAAGCGCAGATCCAAAAATTGACTCAGTGTCTTCACTCATCTCAGGTCCAAGCATCACTTGCAGCGACATGCTCGGTGACGGGGCTGCTCCTTGCAACTTGCCTCCTCTTGAAGCTCTGCCATGCCCAGGCTTCACAGTCTTGCCAGGGTAAGCCTTGTACCGCGAGAGTTTGTGCGGAACGGGCAACCCTCAGAGAGGAACTCGGAAACCATGCAAGACTGATCATGAAAAGCGAATGAATCCCTCCGACTGCAAAAAAGGGAAAGTATTGGAGTTCGTTGAGATGGAAGGTATACATGAGCGTTAGAACATATGACAGGCCCGCTAGTGGAGGCTGAATCTACTGAGTGAGGAACCTATCATGGAAACAACGGAATCTTGGAAATAATTGAATCTTTGTAACAATTGAATCCTTTCCATGCTCCATTGTCATCCTTTTTCGTTTGTTATCCTACCAACGAAGTCTGAAGATTGGTTTCCAGCCTTGCTAGTGCGGTATTATGTTTGAACCATGCTAATACTTTCAAAAACAAAGTCGGAGAAAATTAGAATGCAGCATCAAAACGCAGCAGTCCAAAAACTGTATACTTGACTTTCAAATACATCACAATGATATAATTTTGCTTGAAGTTCCTCTTGATAGATTGTGATTCAATCAGTTTGCCTGATGTGCATAGAAGAATTTCCTTCTAGAGATCGTAAGGATTGAATCTGCTTCTTCTATCATCAGCAGAAAGAGAGCTGGGCTTCCTTTCTGAGAACCCTTGTTGCTTTGGCTTCAACTCCTGCACTGAACTCTTTTGCGATGCTCCTTTCATGTTCGACTTGTCCTTCATACCCATTCTCTTCTCCTTCTCCTCCTTTCTCCTCTCCTTCTTCGTCTTTTTCTTCTTGATGCTCGATAACTTTCGTGGCGCTGTGTTTCGGAATCTCCTCCCTCTTCCTTTCCCTCCTGCCGCGCCTCCACGGAGACACACAAACATCGAAGCGCTTGTCAAGCTCTTCAGCGAAGGAGCAGGAGCAGAAGCAGAGCATGATCCATTCAACGAAGTAAAGAGAAGGAGCAGGAGGAGCATGGAGCAGCGAAGAAGCGGCAGTGCCTGAGTTGTCATCCGCATACAAAGCGCCTCCTGGGCAAACCAACCGGATCCCAGCACTTTTACAGCCTTTTTGTTTTACCCACAACATAAAATAAAAAAACAATCTCAATTGTCCCACAGCGTCTTGTCTTGAGCTTCACCGACAGGCACAAAGGCATCGCTGAAAGCCTCGTCGAACATCCCTTCATCCTCTCGGCCCAGCACTCCCTCCTCCGAAGCTGCGGGAGAAGCCTGAGCCCCCGCAAGCACAGAACGAAGACTTTTGACTTGAATCTTCCTGACTTGATCACCGTCAACTCCCTCCCGTTTGTCTTTGAACGCGTCGAAGTCTATCAGCGATTTTCTGTGCAAAGCTTGCTTGAACATGGCGGAAACATCTGATGGAGACGAAAGCTTCTCGTTTTTGCCATGAACCTTGGCTCGTGAAACTTGCTCATCGTCACTCTTTTCCACAGTTTGTGAAGACAGCAGCTGCTTCACGCTTTCCTCTTTCGTAGACTTCTGAGTCTTCGTCTTCTTGACCTCCTGCTTCTCACCGCCGACCCTGGCATGATGAGAAGGAAGTATCAGCGACAACAGCTCTTTCAAGCTGTCCTCCTTCTCTGGGTGAGGAGGCTTCGAGTCAGAGACGAGCTGCTTCAAGCTTCCTCCTTTCTTCGCCATTGGCACTGCTCTTTCCTTCCTTGGCTCGGCTAAATTCTCCTCCCTCACCACAGCATGTGAAGGACGCTGCGAAACAGCAGGCACTTCCGACTTCATGGTCACATCCTTGCTTACTGTGGCATGAGAGGGAGGTTGCATCAGGGACAGCAGCTCCTTCAGGCTGTCATCTCTCTTTCCCTTAGCTTTGGAATCACCACGAATACCATTTGATGATTTCGAGGGTGGGATGCCTGCGCAAACAACGTTTCAAAAGCCATCTCAAGATCAAGAACTGAAATTTGCATGTCTTACCTTCCTTCACATCAGAATTTTTTGAACCATTTTCATGCTTTGCCTGAAGTCTAGCAAGCGCGGCAGATTTGACATCTATCTCACTAGCCTTCAAGCTGGAGAGATCAATCGCCGCAGAGTCAAAGGCACGATTAACCAATTTTGATGCTTCCATCGAAACAGCTTTGTCTGCTGCTATATTCTTGCTCGGCTTTCTATTGTCTCGATCATCGTTCCCAAAGTGTGCGTCAGACGATGACAACATCATTGCATGTTTTGGTGCTGAAATCGCGAGACCATGGCGTGGCAAGATCATCGTCCGCTTCCCATGAGCTTCATTCTTAAAGGAGGATGCAGCTAGCTCCTCGGAGCGAACCTGCGAAAGAGCATGTCTTGCTTTGGCCACCTTCAGCTGTGCAGGGTTTGGTGTAGGCTCATCGAAATAGGATTGCGCTAGTTGGAGTGCTCGGGCTTCATCAAGTTCCTGCGGAAATTCATCAGACGTGACCGATCGAACTATGACACCTACCACATCACTCTTCTCCTCATCGCGTCGAACATACACTATGACCACCAAAGCAAGAAAAGCTGCTGAAACCAACACGCCGATGCGCCGGCTTGGGACCTGTCATGGATTTTAGAACTGAAAGATGCGGTGAGATTATATTAACAGCACAGGCCCGATCCTGTTTCTGATCCTTTCTCCCTATTTCCATACCCTCTGCTCCCTCTGCTCCCTCTGCTCCCTCTGCTCCCTCTGCTCCCTCTGCTCCCTCTCCTCCCTCTCCTTACCTTCACCTTGCCACTCATGTCGCCAAGCACTGAGCAATCTGCATCAAACTATTTCGGCTCGCGGTGCCCTCATCCCCAGGATGATTGTTTTACTCAATCTGAGAGTTGAGGAATACCCCCCTTTCCATATTCTGAAAGGGGGTACTTATCTCGGGGGTACTGTATCCTCCAAGCAACTCTAGGCAGGATGAATCCAAGGAAGAAGCTGAAGATGAGCCCGCAGTGGTCGCTCGTCGTTTCGTCATGCTCTTGCGAGGAAGGCAGAGAATGCTTCTCTCCAGCATGCTCCGCAGTGCAGAAGAGTTATCATGACATCATGATGCGCTTGGAGGAAGAGGGCGAAATATTGCCAGGAACGGAGGAACGACTGGCGATGATTCGTTCAGTATCGAATAGTGAGATCGAAAGTGTTGGTGCTGAGGAAAGAGGCGAAAATGATAACCAAGATGAAGTTTCGCCGTCTGGAAGTGATCTGTTGACATGCTCCTCGATCTATCTGCCAACAGAGCGGCAAGGCGACCCTTTGAAAGCTACTCAATTTGGCACACAGGGCCTCTCTGGATTTGATTGTTGTTCTTCTGCAGCGCAAGGAACTTTTCAAAGTCAACAAAAGAATGAGATGTTCAACAAGTCCTTGTTGAGATCCTGGATGGACCCGGAGTTAGCAAGGAAGTGCTTGCTTCTTGCGTGGTGGAATGTACGAAGGCCCCACAGTGCCCAAGAACAGCTTTCGGAGGCAAGGACACATGGGAGTTACATGGACAACGAGATGAACTCATGTGTGAGACATCCAGAGCATGATGTGAGAACTTAAACGTTGTTTGCAACGAATTCGTCGATCTCGCCCTGACGGTCACTACAGGCAATCTTGAAGGTTTTCAACATGGGCCATCGATTGATGCTGGCTCTGAACTTCTCGGAGTACAGCCTATCCTTGTGGGAGTCTTCTGGTAGAATATACTACAATTCGTTGAATCAGCATGGTGAGAGTCTGCGATTGATTGTGCATTTTTCCTCTGAATGACGCCAACTGCCACCAGGGAGACATTCTGCAGAATATCTGGAAATACTAAGAAAAACAAGAGAAAAAAATGTGATTATCAGCAGGCTCCGCCATAGGTATAAAGAATTCTTCAGCGAAATGGTCCAAAGTTTATCTTGTATCGCTTTGGAGCGATTTTGTTCTGCAGTCTTGCTGGACTTGTTTGAAAACGAGATCGAGATAAAGATGAAATCCATCGGAGGGAAATACCTTACTCCGGTTGCTGACGTCTTGCATCGAATGGCCTATTCCACAAGAATCGTAGGGATCGATCTGCAGGATATTGTAAAACTTGCAACGCAGTGCAACACGCTGGAAGAATTGCAGGCTTTGCTTCACGAATCCAAGCTACATGTTCAAACGAAACATGAGCATGACAACTGTAGCTTTGTGGTCGAGGTATTTGGCAAACATAGATTTCAGGTTAAAACTTTTCTGTGATCAGTTCTTCATGGTTTTAATGCGATTGATAGGATTTCAAGATGGCTTTGAACAGCATGCATGCGTCAATCTTGGACAGAAACAAACAGCTTCCGCACTTGTGCCCCCGATCTGTCCTCGTGAAAATCGTCGGTGCGCTTTCATCTACAGTGAAGAAACTTGATGGACCATCCACGACTTTGCACGCTTGCGGTGCATTCCGGTGCTCACATCTGGATGCTCATCGATCTACTCTGACCTTGCGTGACTTGATGGCACAAACAGGCGCGGCGCTCACTTTGCCGATACTCTTGACCTGTGCATGTTCGCACCAGCCGATTCCATTCCGAGACTCCGAGCTGTAGACTACTTCAGCGACGTCGTCTCCAAGACTCCTCAGATCTGCGGGCATGCGCTCTCTGTTGGTGAGCACACAGTTGATCTCAATAGATCAGGTGCCGCGCTGACTTTGAGCGTTTGCAGAGCGATGGTTGGACACGATGCAGGAACGATGCTGGGCCCACGTGACCGTAAGGCGCCAGATGGAGGTCGACATGTACTACCATGTCTTGGTTGATTTCAAAATCTTGCCGAAGGAGAGGTGAGCTATTGCTATTGCTTAACTTGTCTCTGTTCGTTCTCAAGGTTAAAAATTGCCAGCCAAGGAATATCCATGCTACTTTTCACGGGGCCATCACGGTTCTACAAATCATTGCTGATGAAAGAGCGAAATTTCCCGGTAATGTCCTGTGTTTCATAAACTCTTGTGCTGAATGTTCGATTGGAGGTAAATCTAGAAGAAATCCTCAAGGGAGCCTGCCCCTCTGGTCCTCGACGTCAGGGCTCGAATGGCTGTGAAGCGACCGGTGAAAGCTGGTGGAATGACATGAGCGAAGGGGAAATACTCGAGAGCATGAGTATCTCGCCAAGGATGCGAGACCCTGTGCAGCGAAATGACTTTTGCTTGCCTTTTACTTCCATCCAAGAGAACCACTTGTGATAATCAAGAATCAAAATTTATTAAATGTGATTAAAAAACAGAAAGCTTCAGAAGTGAAGCAGAAAGCTTGCAGGGTTTTATATTCCTTGAATGAAGTCCCTAGTTTCCTAGGAGTCATTCTTGGCACATTCTTGTCTACAAGTCCGCATTAGTCGCAATTAAACTGCAACCTCGATGTTTCAGGTTTTAAATTCCTTCACGAACCAAACCCATACAGCGTCCTTCCCTGTCTCTTCAGCGCGTACACCACGTCCATCGCTGTGACTGTCTTCCTCCTCGCGTGTTCCGTGTACGTCACCGCGTCCCGGATGACATTCTCGAGGAAAACTTTCAGCACTGACCTTGTCTCCTCATAGATCAAGCCGGAGATTCGCTTCACGCCTCCTCTCCTGGCGAGCCTTCTGATCGCAGGCTTTGTGATGCCCTGGATGTTGTCGCGCAGAACCTTCCTGTGTCGCTTGGCTCCTCCCTTGCCCAGTCCCTTACCGCCCTTACCTCTTCCTGACATGATCTTTGCCGCACTTACCAGCCCTGCACGGACCCTATGACCACTCCTAGTACCTAGCTAGTAGCAAGCTAACAGTACTCCTTACCGTAGGGGCCTTACCTGCCTAGGGACTAAAACAAATCGAAACAACTTGCCAGGTTTACTGATATTTAGCGCACGGGGGCCGGGTGCTTTGTACAGGGTGGGGTAGAGAAAGGCTCTGAAGGAGGGGTACTCTCTCCCGGGACACACAACCTGGTTGAACTCGGCGGCGGCCGGGCGGCAGTCCGCGTGACCGGGTGCCCCGCGGCCACGCCGGGGGCCCGCACGGAGGCTAGCACGTATGATGGTGACGCCGACGCCGGCGGCCAGACGTCCGACACTCAGTCACTGGCCCTCACTCGGTCGCAGTACGGTCCAACGGCGTCCGAGCAGTAAGCCGCCTTTCAAGTGCCGCTGTGCGACCGGACGTGAAGCGGCTCCGAGTTCTTGTCCACAGTGACCGTGCCGGTGACGTTGGCGGGAGTCCGATCGGACAGCCCGGCCCGACGACTAGGCTCAGGCCAATGATCTAACGGTCCTGGTAACGCCTACATAACCGAATGAAACGCCTGGAAGAATTTCCCGCCCGCATGGCAGACTGCGAGCGGAGTGGCTGAAGTGAGAGTGCGGAGAGATGAAGTCGAGTAAAGGAAAGAGGAAACGCTCGAAACCACAGCCGTCATATAGACGATGAAAGTTCGACAATACTCTGCACAGGACCTGAGCTGCAGGTAGACACTCAGAGGAAGCAAAGTCAGAGAAATGGTTAGGATTCTTTGACAGCCCCGCTGCATCGTCATTCAGCGAAGCCGAGGAGCTAGCTTGAAAGCTAGTGCGATTCTTGGGGGCAACGTGTGATGTCGTGACCTCTCTGCAGTGGGATTCTAGAAATCATCCTCGTCGGCATGCACTCGTAAGGCAGTCCCGATGCGTCGGGCTGGTCGTAGCCTGCTTTTGCTTCTTTTGTGTATATGCAGATATTCCGAGACGAACAGAATGGGAGGATCTTCGAAATCATATGGGAAGTGTGCTCATGCAAATCACGATGTTGTCTTAAGGCTGCGTGGAGGAATATTGCTCCATTCCCCGAAACCAGATGAGGCCAGGCACAAACGAGTGTCGCTGCACGAACCAGTATCCAGCCAGATGAACGACAGTCCGATGCCAGGTCTTCGCCGCAAAGACATCAGGCAGGACAGATATCCCAAGTCAATACAGAAGGAGATGAACAGCATGAAGCGAGATGAGTCGAAGTCCGGCATCGGCAATGGCGCAGTTCCAGAGGCGTTTGCTAGCTTCGGGGAGGTGGTCACTGTAGAGCCGACAGAAGAACACACAGCCACAGTCATCTGGCTACATGGATTGGGCGATACTGGCCATACATGGTCGGCAGTAGCATCCTGGCTCCAGATGCCTTGGTGTAAATTCATCTTCCCCACTGCACCTGCACAGCCGGTGAGTATGTTTGCTCAGAAGGTGAGGGTTGAAGTCCTGACCCTTAGGAAACTGTCAGGTGTCAATGAAATTCGGCTATGCGATGCCTTCATGGTTTGATTTCAACTCTCTGGACGTACACGACATCGATGAGGACGCGGAGAGCATGGGAGTGAGTGTGGAGTATGTGCATTGGCTGATAGCCAAGGAGATGAAGCACGGCATCAACCCTCAGCGAATCCTGGTGGTTGGTTTTGCGCAGGGTGGGTCTGTAGCTCTGATGAGCGCGGTCAGATCTCGGGGCAGGTAAGGCCTATTTGAGGAAGGGAAGGGGCTGCGTGGTCTGACCTGAAGTTAGGTTGGGCGGAATTTTGGCACTGAGCAGCTGGTTGCCAAAGATATCGTTGGAAGGAGGGGGGCCCACGAAGGCAGCGTTGAAGATTCCATTCTGGTTCTACCATGGGACAGACGACAAGGTCCACACGTCCTCTCATTCGCTTTGCCATGGGTTTGAATGTTCTCAGGTGGTCAAGTTCGAACTTGGATGTGAGAGTTACACCAGAGCGCTTCAACTTGGATTGAGGGCTCAGTTTAAACAATACGAAGGGTTGGGCCACGAGTACGGGAGCCAGGAGATGATCGATGTTCAGAAGTTCTTCTTCCGAAGGATCCCTGAAGACTTGGCAGACACGGTACTGGCGGCGTTTTCACAGCCACATCATGATGTTTACGATAAGGTTTGCAGGTACCGGAGCCATTCGATGATAATAGCAAAGTTTTGAAAAGTATTCAGTTATCTGTAACTCGTAAACAGGAACGCTTCAGGTACACAGTTGGAGGCGTCTCAGCGTTTTTCAACGCTCCATGGCAATTCGCAATTTCGTCAGGATTGTTCAAGAAGGAGGGAATTCATGTTGAATGGCAAGATTGCCAAGGGGGAACAGGAAGCATGGTCGATCATCTCAACAATGGTTCGCTCGATATAGCTATCTTATCAACAGATGGAGCACTAGCAGAGATTACTCAGGGCGGCCTCTACCGTATAATTGCTCCCTTTGTAGATTCTCCGTTGAAGTATGGAGTCTATGTATCGGCTGAATCCGACATCCGAAGTTGCCACGAGCTAGAGGGGACGATCTTTGCCATAAGTCGCAAAGGATCACTGAGCCACGTCATGACTTACCTGCATGCTACCCAATCGAATTGGAATCCTAAGAACTGGGACAAGACTAGAGCATCACTGCTTGAGGTTGGAAATCTCGCAGGAGCTCGAGCAGCGCTGCGGAACGGCAAGGCTGATGGATTTCTATGGGAAGTAGGGGCAGCAAAGACCCTTGTTGACAAGGGAGAGATTCGACTGATAGGATATTGTTCTACTCCCTGGCCAAGTTTTGTGATTGCTGCCAGGAACGAGTTGTTGGAAAGCAGAGATGGGATAAAGGGCTTACAGCTACTTCTTGATTGTATGAAGCAGGCTTGCCACGACTTTCAAGATTGGTCTGGCAGGATGAATCTTATGGTGCAGAAATATGGGATCAAGCCCGATGATGCTCGAGCGAGGCTGGAAGAAACCAGTTGGTCGTGCGAAAACAGAATGGCTGACGAGGTGCTGGACGAAGTTGCTTTCACGTTGGTGGCCGTTGGGCTGCTCAAGACGTTCCCTGCTACTGATGACATCTTTGCATCTCTTGCAGATCTGAGATTGCACTTTGAATCCAATGTGAACGAAGATGGCGGAGAGGAGATGTTCGAAGAAGCAGAAGCTGGAGAGAAGGCTGGCAGTGCGAAGACATACCAGCAGCACGCATGGAATGATGACTTGCAGCAGTTGCCTTCATCTCAAGAAGCGCCCCATGACGTCAGCACCGATTCTTCTATGCCTTCTTACGAGCCTGAATTCAAGAAAACAGAGGAGGGAACTTATGAGGTTACGGGGATGACCGGGGAGGTACACGACCTGCTGAAAGGGAGGAAAATGACCAGCACGTGGCGTCCTTCGAACGTCATCAAGCCTGCAGTAACGCATCAGGAGCGCCATGATGAAGACGATCAGATCTCAGCGATCCTAGAGAAGAGCGCGATGCTGTCCTCGAAGTATCCAGAAAGGAACTCACAGCTGTCTCAACCGTACGGCCACCCCACACCTAGAACCGATTCCGCGCACGTGCGATTCGAGCATTGCACATCTGGCAAGAGCTATGCGTTCTCTGGAGAGTCTTACCTGAGCCACCCTGGGTTTTCATCCAGGGGGAAGCGAGAAGAAGTGTCGGTTGATAACCGTCAGGATTCTAGTCGCCATGAAGACAAGTACAGTGAAAGGCCGTCGGATGTGAAAGCTCCTGTGAGGTCTAGAGCAACCTCTCCGAACCTCACGCCCCAGCTCGACCCGTCGTCTTCCTCCGTCTCCTCCAATGCCCGCGTCAAGAACGTTGCGCTCAGCCTCAGGAAGCTCCGTGACTCGGCCGTTGCGATGCGAAAGTCAGCGGCCAAGGCCCTGCGAGGCTCGTCAGATGGCTCGCTCTCCTCTCCCTACCAGCAAGTCCCTCCAGTCAATCTCTTCAGGAATGCTACTGGTGAAGCGCAAGAAATCAACAACCGGGTCTCCAACTCGAATCCCTCACGATTGGAAACTCAGACACAGACCAGAGCAGGTCGGGAAACGGGAGACATTTCAAGCTTGAAGACGTCAGATTCTGCTACGTTCCATGGAGGTCATAGTCTAGAGGACCACACGGTTGAGTTCAGGCACACGTTGCGCAAGAGTGTGCACAGAGATGTCAGATCTCACCAGGTGATGCGACCTAAGTCGCTCTTTGACCATGCCGGGCCGGAGGAGCAGACGATGAAACGGGAGGAGTGCCCGATCTGCCTTGAGAGCATCGACCCTGACCAGGCGTTCCTCACGACGTGTGCACACAAGTTTCACAAGTCGTGCTATGATGAATACTCTAGAATGTCCTCAGTAGCCAACAAGAGACAGTGCCCTGTTTGCCGAACAGCTCAGCACACGCGGGAGACGTTCTCGTGGGAAGTTGAGGACTCTGGGCCCCAGCGACCGGCGGAGTCGATGGGCAACGACGTTGGGGGAGATTTCAACGAGCTTTCGAGGCGAGACGGGCTCTTCATTGATACAAGATTCTATGACGACACAGCCGTCAACTCGCCCCGAGTTGGGGAGGCGACTTACGAGATGTCGCAGGAGTACACGCAGAGGCCAAACCGAGTTTTTGCCAACAGCCCCTTGATGTCTACCGTCATGAAGCGGAAACCGGATGAAGAATCCGATCACCACAAGCACGACCTTGCTTCGATGCCCCTCTACTCGGGCGTGAAGAAATCCGCGGTCGAACCTATCAAGGACAACTCTCGCTGGACGGACTCAGTTCTGTTCTCGCAAGACGTCCCTGCCAACGCAAGGCCGACCTCCTCCCTTCACAGACCGTCGAACGCGCAAGCACCAGCCGCTTCTGCCCCGAGACTCGATCTACGGGAGCTTGGGTCGCACTCGATGGAATTTCACAGCATTGCGACGCAGATGTTCACGACAGGAAAGGTGGGCCTGGGGTCATCGAAAGAAGTCACATCGCAAGTACCAGAAGCCACTAGGAAGGCAGAGCGACTCGAGAGCACCAAGTCAGAGTCTTCAGCTCATGCCCGTCCTCGTCCTGAGGCGGGGGATCCGAGAGCCGCGCGAGTTCGTGTGGTGGGGATTGAGAAAGTTACACAACACTCGAGCTTCAAAGAGGCTGTGAGAGAGGCCAACAAAGGCAGCGCCAAGGTGATCGTGGGTGCCGGACGCCACGAATGGGAAGGGGACGCGACGTTCCGAAGAACAGAGATGAACGTGACAGCAGAGGAAGGAGCGACGATGCTGAGCCAGGTAAGCGAGCAGAAGTTCCTGCCCCCCTGACGCAAAATGCCAGTGGCTGTTCAAGGAGGCCAGCGGAGGGTCCCTCAACGCCCTTGCCTGTGTCTTCGTTGCTCCAGACCTCTCCGAGCCTTGCATGCTCTTCTGGGGGGGGCCATGGCTTGTCGACCGCTCGAGCGTCCGCAGCAACGGCGGCATCGCCATCATGAGCGCTGAGCAGGCAGCAGTGATGATGCGGAGGTAGTTGAGGGGTTGCTGCGAGTGTGGGGCTGACCGAGGGCTGCAGTTGCAAGGCAGGCGGAGTGTCAGAGGACGAGATGGCATCGACGGGGTTGAGCATCGGGGGGGCGAGCAGATGCATCCTTGAGCAGTGTGAGATCGGCTTCGCGGGGACGAGAAGAGGAGGAGGAGCAGGAGTACGGGTCAGTGGAGAACGCTGGTGTGACTGCGATCGACTGATGGTCACGAAGGTGATGGACGATGGGAAGGCGTCTATTGAACTTTCGACGATCGCCAACGTGAGGCTTCTCCCCATCGCCCGTCCCTCCTCCACTCCTATTCCCTCCTGCCATTCTCCTTCCTTTCCCATTCCCTCCTTCCACTCACTCCCTCCTCACCTCCTCAACTACTCCTCTCCTCCCCTTCGACTCCACTTCGTGTCCTCCCCGCCTGACGTCACCCAGGTCTCCTACTGCATCTCCATCTATGGATCCGCCAAGGTCCTCGTGCGCGAGTGTTCGCTCGCCTCCGCCAGGTCTTGTCTGCCTCCTCCTGCTGGGCTGACAGCTAGGCAGGATGAGCGCCTTCTACGCAGAGGCAGGGAGCTCGAGAGCATCTCTGCAGCTGAAGAGATGCTCCGTCACCTGCCGCAAGGTAGGAGGGAGCTGGGCAAGTTCGAGACGCTGAGCCAGATGATTGCAGGAGTGGTACAACCCGGATAGGCCGGGCAAGTATGAAGTGAGATAGGTTAACATGTGAGCGTGTACAGGGCGAGTTAAGAATGTAATGAATGTTAATACCTCTCACGTCTTCTCCTCTCCTCCGCTCCTTGTCTTCCTCCTCACCAACACCTGCTTCGGAAACGACCTCCCCAGCCAGAAGATCCGATCTCTCAACCCCTGAGCCTTCTTAATGACAGACAGCGTGCTCCTCTCAGTCTTCTTCTTCCTCCTCCTCCTCTCCTCCTTCAGATTCTTCGCAACCTTTTCGTCCTCCTCCGCAAGAGCAGGAGTACGAACGGTCCTGCCGTCGCTGCTCCAGTAGCTTGCGGGGATGCTTCTCTTCGCCATGGCAACCGCCGCCTCAACGTCCTCCCAGCGCGAGTGGCTCCTCATGTACTCCCTAGCCAGCAGAGGGCCCAGCTTCCTCCACTCCATCCTCCCGCCAGCCTGTGACAGCGCAGAGTCGACTGCATGCACCCAACCCCTCCAGCCTGCCTTGGCTGCCTTCACCGCGCTCCAAACCTCCCCCGCCTGCTCCTCCGACACCCTGAGCTCCTTCCTAACGTAGTGGACGAACCGGAGGCGTCTCACGGGGACGAACTCGTGCTGCAGCAGCTGCTTCAGCAGCCCCTTCGTCTCGTCGCTATGAGAGTTCCTGATCGCCTTCCATAGCACGTCCTGCCAGGCCGCCTTGTCTACCAGCACGTCGTGCGCCTCGCACCACTCCAGCCACTGCTGCCACATGGCGTCATGGCGGAGGGTGTGGGACGAGCCGAAGACGATTAGTCCACGTCTCGCTCGCGTCAACATCACGTTGAGCCTCCGCCAGTCGCGCAGGAAGCCGACCATGCCCCGCTGGTTGCTCCTCACGGCCGAGAAGAGGATCAGCTCTTTCTCCCTCCCCTGGAAGTTGTCGACGCTCGCTATCTCCAGCTCCCTCGCCTCCGCCTGGTCCAGATTCTCCCGCGCGCACAGGCTGTGCCAGCTCCTCTTGAGCAGGCGGACCTGAGCCATGTAGGGGGTGACCACCCCGACGTCCCGCGGCCGCAGGTTCTTCTTCCTCAACACCATGATCAGCACTTGCAGCAGCTTTTCCACCTCCTTGGGGTTCGCCTTCGACTCTCCCTGCTGCTGCTCGTGGTATCCTCTTCCCATGTCCACAAACGCCACGGGCACGTCCCTCCTCGGCCACACGAACCCCTGCAGCGCCGGCCGCTCCTCCCCCCTGATCCCGTCCTTGAGCCTCCCGTCGTAGACCATCTTGGAGGAGAATTCCATGAGCTTCGGGTGCGACCTGAACTGAGTGTCGAGGAACTTCGCCTCCAGCCCCTCCCTCACCAGCCGAGCGTACAGGGAGACCGACATTCCTCGCTCCTCCGCCTCCTCGCTCTGCACTGTTGGAGGGAGCTGGCAGTGGTCCCCAGACAGGACGAGGCGGCTGCATCCCCTCTGGACGATGGGGACGATGGTGTTGATCTCAGTGCACTGGGCGACCTCGTCGACGAGGATTGCGTCGAAGCTGCCGAGCTGACGGAAGAGGAAGTCTCCTCCTGCAGTGATCATCTGAGCACAGATCACCTCGGCGTTGTCGAGGATCTCGTCTCGGATGAAGTTATCTTGGTCTCTCTCCTGCCTCTCCTTGCGCTTCTGCCGCTCTGCCGGGTCCAGCTCCAAGTCCATCCAGATGTTCACCTTCTCTTCATCCTCGCTGTCAGACATTGGTTTGCTCTCCATCCATTGGTCCCTTTTCATGTCCAACAGACATGGAATGCAGTCCTCCTTGGTCGGCTTGTAGTCCACGAACCCCCCAGTGTCCGCCTCCTCCACATTTTCCCTTCGTATCCTCCAGCCACGGGCCGGGGGAAGTTGCGAGTCTTGCGGGCAGTATGCCAGGATGCCAGACTTACCCTTCTTGTTGGTGATGTACCAACCCGACTTGTCCTTCCTTTCCATGTAGAAGCAGTAGAGTGGTGACTTCTTCACTCCGTCGAGCTTCTTGTACGAGTGGTAGGGAGATTTCATCAAGAACTCCCGCTCCACCTCGTACGCCCGTGCCCAGACCCCGTTGAGCTCGGGCATCAGAGTACCGTTCTCGTAGACCTTCCTGGCTAGCAGCCCTGACATCCGAAACCAGGCTTCCTTGTCATACTGCATGTTCACAACTTGCGCCTCCGTCATCGCCTGGAGCTCTTTCTCGTACTGACTCACGTATTCCTCCATCTTCCTATCGATGCCCAACTTCTTCTCCTCCCGCCTTCTCTCTTTGTCCTCCTTCCACTTCTTTACCTGATGGTCTAGCGTCAGCTCCTCCACCAGCGAGCTGATCTTCTCAGGCCTCCCTATCCTGACCACCTTCACTCCCGCTCGGGCCAGCCCCTGCGCGATGTTGTCCACCGCCACGTTCCCATCAGCTGTTGCTAGGATCTTCCCGACGCCCACCTGGGCCCATAGCTTCAATATCTCGACGGACGTACTAGTCTTTCCCGTCCCTGGGGGGCCCTGGATGATGGTACATCTCTGCCAGAGAGCCGCCCTCACGGCCTCGCGCTGGGAGGGCGTCAAACGCTCGTTGTGCTCCAGCTCGTTGCTCGCCTTGCAGAGATTTTCCCAAATCATGGGAGGCCTCCAGGGCTCCTCCGCAATCTGCTTCACCCGGTTCCTTGCCCTCTCCTCCTCCTTCTTCCTCTCCTCCTCCTTTCTTCGTTCCTCCGCTTTTCTTCTCTCCCCCTCCCTCCTCTCCTCCTCCTTCTTCCTCTCCTCCGCTTTTCTTCTCTCCTCCTCCTCCTTCCTCTCCTCCTCCTTCCTCCTCTCCTCCGCTTTTCTTCTCTCCTCCTCCTCCTTCCTCTCCTCCTCCTTCCTCCTCTCCTCCGCTTTTCTTCTCTCCTCTTCCTCCTTCCTCTCCTCCTCCTTTCTTCTCTCCTCCACTCCAAGTTTCTCCTCTACCTGAACCAGATCCTGCTCCTGCTTTATTCCTTCTCTGCCCACATCTTCCTTTTCCTGCATCTGCGTCTCCACAATCGCAACTTCCTCCCTATTCCCTTCCTCCTTCCCTTCCACGTCCGCCATCACCACCATGTCTCCTGCTTCATTCTGCACCACATCCTCCGCCGCCTCCAACTTCGTCTCTACTCCTCCTGCTCCTTCCTCCTTGTCGCCCGTGGCCCCACAACCTCCCCCTGAGCACAATCACCCCGTTCAGAACCTCTCAGCAACACAGAAGCAACAATCTCACCTGCAGCAATCCAGCCTCCTCCCTCGCTCTGTGGCTCAACGTCGTCCATTGCCGTCGGCACTCCGGCGCTCTCCCCCTCTATCTCCTCTTGGTCGTCCGAGATGTAGATCACTTCAACCTCTTCTCGTCTCACCTGCTCCTTTGCTGTCTCACCTCCTCCACCCATCTTGGCCTCCGACCCCTCAGGCTCTACCTCCATCGCATCCTCGCTCATCCCTCCCTTGCCTTGACCGTCCATTGTATCTTCCTTGACGACCAGGTCCGGGTCCGGCCCCTTCCCTTGCTCCGTCCTCGACTCAAGATCCTGACTCGGCAGGCAGTACTGACCCGCCGTCGATCCTTCTTGCGAGTCTTCCGCAAAGTCCATGGTCGTCACGTCATCCACCTCCTTCCCCGTTCCAGCGACGTCCTGCACGGGTGCTGTGGAACTTGACGCCTCGAGCCTGCCTCCCACCTCCTCCACGTTCACTTCCCCCGCCGCCAACACTTGTGGCCTCTCATCACAGCTCTCACAGCTGATGGCATCTTTCATCATCTCCGCATCCTCCCCCACGGTACAAGAGGCCTCGGCTCCCTCCTTCCCCTCCCCCTCCCCCTTCCCTTCCGCTCCTTGCTGCTTCTTCCTCCTACTGATCCACTCGTCCACCATCCCCACCTGACTCTCCGTGATGATCTCGAAGATCTTCTCTTCGTCCTGGCCCCTCACCTCCGTGCAGATCGTCTCTAGCGACTGCAGCTGGCGGCTATAGCTCGTTCTGTTCGCCGACTTGTCGACTCTCCACGTCTTCTCCATGTAGTCCTTGGGCAGTTTGACAACCTCATCAAGGTTGATCGTCATTGACGTCTCCGTCAACTCCCCGCAAACTCCGATGCCCAGCTTGTCCACCAGCGGGCTCGTCAGGCTGATCGCAACCCCGTCTCCCTTCTTGATCTTCAGCTTGAACAGGTCGATGGCGCTGCTGCTCTTCAGCCAGATCTTGTTCGCGTGCGTCTTGTCCTCCCAGCCCCTGTGCCTCCTCCCGCACGCCACCTTGCTCACACTTAGCTTCGTCAGGGCCCAGCCCGACCTCTGCAGGGCCTCTGCTGTCCGCCCGCAAACCCGATTGCGCATCAGCTCGAGGTCAGCTAGGAACTCTAGATGGATCAGGACGTTGAAGTGCTCGAAGTAGCGCAGCTTCTTCTCGTCTCCGTGGACGACCCCTCCCCTCAGCTGTTCTACGTCAAGTTGCCCCACCAGCTCGTTCACAGGTGGAGCTGAGAGCTCCTCGTACTCCTGCCTCCCCACCAGCTTCACAGGATCTGGGCAGCGCTTCTTCCCCTCGTTGATCTGCCAGCCAGCCCGAGGGGGTAATGAGGAAGTGGAAGGGTTGAAACCGATGGTAGCAGCTTTGCTCCCAAATTTTGTGCCAAGCCACCATCCTTTCTTCATCTTGCTGAAGTTCCAGTAGTAACATACCAGTTCCTGCTCCGTGTCTCCTCCCTTCTTCTCTGCCTTGCTCTGCTTCTCCTTTTCCCCACTCCCGACGCTTGCGTCTTCCTTGGTTGTGTCTTGTACTCTCCCCTCTTCTCTCCCCTCCTCTTGGGGAGCTTTGACGTATACAGGCCTCTTGTCATCCATGAAAGCATCGTATTTGTCAACTTGCAGGTATCTTCCGTTGACCTCCTCCCTAGCCTTGCAACCAAAGAAGAAAATTTCCTCGGGGATCGTCTTCGCTTCCTCCTCTCCTTTCGCTTCCTCCTCTTCTTCATCCTCCTTGTGCTCGGAGTTTTCGATCTCCATGCTCGGCTTGCTCAGCCCCTGCAGCTCCGCCTCCAGGTCCTTCAAGCTCGATCCTTTCTTCATGGGGCTAACACAAGGAGCATCGGGAGGGAGCGCGAGGTTGAGGAGGATGCGGATCAAGGCAGGATGCACGGAGAGGTCCGAAGTCACTCTCATCATCACTTCACGGTACGAGCCGATGCTCAGCCTCAATCTGCTCCCTCCTCCTCCTCCTCCTCCTCCTCCTCCTCGCTTCTCCCTTTCCTCGGTAACTTGAATTGTCTGTCCTGCCTCTTCATTTGATCGAAAGATCTTCAGAGCTTGAATAAGAGATCGGAGGCTAACTTTGCAGGACACCACCAGCAGATCAACTATCAAATATTCCTTGACTGCAATCCCATGAAGCCTTGCTTCCTGGATCTCGTTCACAGCTCCGCTGATGTCCCTCTTGACCAGAAGGCGTTCGATTCTCTCCGAAACTTTCTTTTCACGCTCCATCCGCTCCTCCTCCAGCCGCTGCTTCTCTCTCCTCTCCTGCTCCTTCTTATCCATCTCCTCTCGCCGCTGTTTCCACTGGCGCCTCTCCTCGTCCAACCTCCTCATCCGCTCCTGCCTGTCCTCGTCTGTCTCTCTCTGTTGCATGTCATTCCAGCGGACTTGACTTCGGTCGTCGCTCCTGCTCGGGGCATATCTCGGGTAATTTCTCTCCTCCGCCCTCCACTCCTCGACTCTTCTCCCTCCCACCTCCCCGGCTCTCTGCTCTCGTCGCCTGTCGGCTCCGTCATGCCTCCTTGACGGCTCGTCCAGCTGCGGCTGAGGGGATGGAGCATAGAAGGACGACCAAGGAGAGGAGGCGCTCGACTTATGCCGTTTGTGCTCTTGTGCTTGCCTTGCGGTATCCACACGAGCAAAGTCTCCTCCGTTCAGCGACCCTCCCTGCCACCCTTCTCGTATCTCACCATTGGGCCGATCGGTGGTGGAGGAGGCAGGTGGATCGCCGCGAGCGTTCACATGATTGTTTGCGTTCACATGATTGTTTGCGTTCACATGATTGTTTGTGGGCGCATCTCGACCCTGTCTGTCATCAAACCACACTTTCCTGGTCTGAGGGTCTTCTCTCCGAGCATACCCTGCTGGAACCATCAGCAATCAAGATCGGCAACGAAACTCTCAAACCATCGTAGTTGGTGGTATGGTAACGAGAACTTGACGCTGCAAGGTGTATGTGAGTTTCTCTATCATATGTTGATGTCTTCATAACAACCATAATCATACGAATTGCCATATTCATTGCTGTACGCGGTGACATGTGCATAGTCGTATCCAACTCCACAGTTCGGCGGTGGATACTTGAATGCATGTCAGAGCACCAGAGCAAGAATATCAAGATATCAACTCACATGGTAATAAGGCGTGACATCGGTTGGGGGGGGCTCAAAACGATCCCAATCATCGTCATGGCGCCTTTTGCGCGGCAACATCCAGTCCCACGAACTCATGCTCCGAATCTGCAGCGAGCTTTGTGTGAGATTTTGTGCTGTTGTTATATGAGCCACTGTTTCCCTTTTCCTTCTAATTCTCATAGAAGGTATTCCTACGACCACAACCCTTCCTTCTCCGTTCCTGCAAACCCCTCGTGCGAGCTATGAATTAAAACTCTCATTCTCTGGGGAATTCTCCAATCATCCTTCCAATCACCCTCTCAATGTCCTTCTTCCTTGTCCTCCTCTTCCTCTTCATCTCTTCATCTCTTCATCTCTTCATCTCTTCATCTCTTCATCTCTTCCTGTCTTCCGGTTGATTTATTCCATCGGGCATTCCAGCATGTGCAACATACCCCTACCCCCCAACTTTAGTCAAATCAGGTGAATAGGTGGGGTACGAACGATTGTTGCTAGCATTCGAAGCCCATAGGAGGAGGAGGGGTGGTTTTCTCTGATTTCAGGACTTCAAGACGACCGGTGGTATTTTTGATAATCCATCTGTCGCGGTTCCGCCTCTGGCTGACCTGAAATAGAACATGGCGGGGGGGAGCGAGTGAACAGCCGAAGGGACCCATGCTGACTTGCTGACTTCCCTTGTCCTCCTCTCCTCTCCCTCTCATCCGACCGCTCGTGTCTCACCGTCGCTATCTCGATGCAGCATCAAGTCGTCCATTGCAGTGGATATGGCACCCGCCAATCAGCCGAGCGAAGGTCCAGGGCATGCCTGCTGGCCGCGACGTCAGTCGTGTTGGCTGTCTTGACCGCTGCTATGTTCTATGGCAGCAGAGGATCGCAAGAGTCTCTCCTTCAGCTCTCAGCCCCCTTCAGCCAGTATGACCCCCTTTCGTTCAACTTCGGCAGAGACAGGTCCATGATTGCCACGGTGCCCATGTGGGCAACAGCCGACGTACCCGAGTCAGACGACAGGGACCTTGACATGACGGTCAACTCAGCGCTGGCTGTAGCTCAGGAGGCTCGTTCGCTTGCTGGACCGCAGAGCTCTGAGCCCGACTTTGTTCCATTCTCACCCCATCTTGCCTTCTCCCTTCCAGCGGGGTGCGTGGGAGGGTGTAAGCAGCAGCATGCCACAGTAAAGATTGTGAAGCGATCGATCCCTCCCTCCAAGGAGGAGAAAGAGATCAAGAAGATGTCTTCCACCTTCAAACGGCTGCAGAGGATCGACAGTGGGCACTACAAGATCCTCTCCACCAGGATACTGTCCCTGGAAAGAATGCTGAGAGAGTTTGCGGCCAGGGAAGCGAAGAAATCCTCCGACGTGGCGCTAGCGAAGACGAGAAAGATTCTCTCGGCTCAGGCTTCGATCAGGACGGCGAAGAGAGCGCTGGATGCTGTAACGGAGCTGAGGAGGATGAGATGGACGCGCGATCAGCCGGAAAAGCATGAGGATGGGTCGACAGCGCGAGCGCAGAAAGTGCAACAGCAAGAGCAACAGCAGCAGCAGACCATGATGGTGCCACAACGACAGGAGGAGAGGGCAAGGGAGGAGCCGAGGCGACGGGAGGAGAGGGCAAGGGAGGAGGAGCCGAGGAGGCGGGAGGAGAGGGCAGGGGAGGAGGAGCCGAGGCGACGGGAGGAGAGTGCAAGGGAGGAGGAGCCGAGGCGACGGGAGGAGAGGGCAGGGGAAGAGGAGCCGAGGCGACGGGAGGAGAGTGCAAGAGAGGAGCCGAGGCGACGGGAGGAGAGGGCAAGAGAGGAGCCGAGGCGACGGGAGGAGGAGGCAAGGGAGGAGGAGCCGAGGCGACGGGAGGAGAGGGCAAGGGAGGAGCCGAGGCGACGGGAGGAGAGGGCAAGGGAGGAGCCGAGGAGGCGGGAGGAGAGTGCAAGAGAGGAGGAGGCGAGATGGCGTGGAGAGAGGGAAAGAAACAGTGAGCTGGAAGGAAGAAGAGTGAGACGGAGGGGAGAGAAGGAAGAGGAAGGCTATGCCTCAAGGCGTAAGGAAAGCAAGTATGCACGTCCTGTCTCATCTTCGTCGCTCGCTGCTGAGCCCTTCGGTTGTCGTTGTCTCTTCTTGTTTGCATGCTCTTACCCTCTGCAGATGCTGAAAGTTTCGTTCCCGGGCCTCACGATCGCATCTACAAGGGTCTGAGCTCAAAGTACAACGACGAAGAAATAAGACAAGGTAATCCCCATTCTCCCCAAACCCTCCTCCTCTGCCTTTCCCCTTTGAATCCTGTCCGGCTCTATGCCACTTGGACTCCTCTCTGCCCTCTCTCTGCTTATCCTTCGCTGCTTTTAGCTTCGTGCTTCTCCTCACACTTGTGCAGAAAACCCGAACGAAGATTTCAGTCCCTACGGTGAAACTCGGAAGGGTGAAGAGAAGGAGCCGCCCGAGTACAACGAGAGTAGAGAATATTACGACGATGCCGAGAAAAGTGATCCTAATGGTAATCCCCCCTCCCTCCACTCCCTCTCCCTCTCTCTCCTCCTTCTTTCCCTACTCGCTATCCTGTCCCCTGCTCCCGCCCTTTCCAAGGTCCTTTCTCGTTGCATTGTTTTGTTTCATTTCTCTTCCCTTGTCCTAGCTGTGCTTGTCTGCCTCCTCCATCCATCGCATGACTCTTCTCTCCTTGCTCCTCCTACATTTTATGTCCAATTGCTGCCACTGAGCATGTGTTGCAGGGTTCTGGGGGGATTGGCGAAAGAATCCCATGGTATCCCCTATTTCTCTCCCTCACCATCCCCCTCCGTGCTTACCTCCCTTGAATTTGTCCTTGCTCTCCCTTTCCCTGTTCCCCCCCTTTTCATCCGCTGCTCCGCTCAACCCTTTCGCTACAGGGAATGCCCAGCGGCATTACAGCAGTACGGAATCCGTCCTATCCGTTCAAGAGCTGGCGGGGGTTGGACTGGATGGCAGGAGCAAAGGAGAAGACACAGAATGGGCAAAATGGAGGAGGAAACGAGGAGGGTGGGGGCAAGACAGAGGAGGGAGGAAGTGGACAGGCAGGGGAAGGGCAGGAGGATGCCGGGAACCAGAACGACGGAGGTCAGGGCAACCAGGAAGCAGGTCAGGGCAAAGAGGCCCAAGTCTCCGCAGCAACAGAGCAGAACAATGAATCGCCTGCCCCTGTATCCAACGAGGAGGCAGCAGCCAGTCCGTCACCTACCGCCTCCTCCCCGCCTCAAGCAGAAGCTCCGACACAAGCTGCGGCCGAAGCAAAGAGTTTCTCTGTGAGGAGCGGGTTGGAACAAGCTCCCTCCTCCATCACCACGAACCTTGAGTCGATGCTCAGTGGCTACAGGTGTGGCAGCACAAAATAGTCGACCCCCCTGTCCTCCTGTCCATTTCGACCCCCAAAGGATCATTGCCCTCCACTTCTTTTCCGCTCATCTTCCTCATTCCTCTTTCTCCTCTCCTTCTGACTTCTTTCTGCACGACAATCTTTCTAACCCCGTTCCTCCTCCCTCATCTCCTTCCTCCCTCGTGTCTGCTATCGTGTTCATCCCTCATGCTGTGCAGGCTGGCAGGAGGAGATGTACCCGGCCATGATTTGAAGAGAGCACGAGAGGTGAGGAGGAGAAGAGGGAGGGAGAAGGATGCTGACTGGAAGAAAAGATGTATCTGCGGAAAAGTCTTAGGGTCAGTAGGGAGAAGGATGTACAAAGGCACCTTCCAGATGAGGTAAGCAGGAGGAGCAGGAGATGGTGGTGGAGCAGGAGCAGGAGCAGAACTGACGGTTAGACTGCAGATTTCTTCCCTTCCGCGCAATCGCTGGCACCGACACACTTTGAATCATTTCGAGGACCATCAGAACTCCGTCTGAGGGGGGAGAAGATGAGGAACATAAGGAGATGGAGGGATGAGAAGTAGCAGGGCGAGGAGAAGCGAGGAGGGCGGAGCAAGTAGCAACTTAGGATGAGATCCCATGTTGATGTAAATAGACATAAAGGTGATGTAGGTCTGTCAGCTCCAACAAGTTTCCCTTCATTCATAATCCCTAAGCTCGCATACGACACAGACTGCAGCTGCGCGCGGGCGCTCTTCCTTCCTCCTCCTCTTCCGATGCTCGGACAGCCAACAGGCTTACAACTCCCCGTGGTCATCCATGGAGAGATCCTCATCCTCGCTTGCTCTCCGTCCTCCGGCTGCTCCGTAGAGCTTGGCGAAGATGGGGTTGACGATCTTCTCGATGTGCTTCTGATGGTCTTGGATCTCGTCCGCCTCCGCAGTGTTTCCCTCCTGCCTCAGCCACTTGTTCCCCTGCTTCAGCGCGTCCTCCACAGCCTCCATGTCCTCGTCGGAGAGCTTGCCTGCCACTCGCTCCTTGTCGTCGATGGTGCTCCTGATGTTGGCCAAGTACGCCTCATACGAGGTCTTGGCCTGGATCTTCTCCCTGATCTTCTTGTCCTGCTCGGCGTAGGCCTCAGCCTCCTTCACCATCTTGTCAATCTGCTCCTCGCTCAGACGCCCCTTGTCGTTCTTGATCGTGATCTTCTCCTGCTTGCCCGTTCCCTTCTCGATCGCCGACACCACCAGGATGCCGTTGGCGTCGATCTCGAACGTTACGTCGATCTGCGGGGTCCCACGGGGAGCGGGAGGGATGCCAGTGATGTCGAACTGCCCGAGCTTGTGGCAATCTCGCACCATCGTCCTCTCACCCTCGTACACGGCGATGTTGACAACAGCCTGGTTGTCCGAAGTGGTGGTGAAGCTGTCAGTCTTCTTGGTAGGGATGACAGTGTTCCTCTCGATCAGCTTCGTAAGCACTCCTCCTTCAGTCTCGATACCCAGAGTCAAGGGCGTCACGTCGAGGAGCAGGAGGTCCTGGGTTTCCTTGCCTCCCTCTCCAGACAGGATACCTCCTTGCACAGCGGCACCGTAGGCAACGGCCTCGTCGGGGTTGATCCCCTTGTTCAGCTCCTTGCCATCGAAGAACTCTTGGAGGAGCTCCTGGATCTTGGGGATACGCGTCGAGCCTCCGACGAGCACGATCTGGTCGATCTGGCTCTTCTCGAGGCCGGAGTCGGAGAGCACCTTCCTGACTGGGTTGACAGTGCTCTTGAAGAGATCGAGGCAGAGCTCCTCGAACTTGGCGCGGGTCAGCGTCTCAGAGAGGTCGGCGCCGTCGAAGAAGGCCTCGATCTCAATCCTCTTAGAGTGGGTGTTCGAGAGCTGCCTCTTGGTCCTCTCGACCTCCCTGCGGAGCTTCTGGATTGCCTTCTTGTCCTTGGAGGCATCCTTCCCGCTCTTCTTCTTGAACACTCCGAGGATGTAGTCGATCACCCTGCGGTCGAAGTCCTCTCCTCCCAAGTGAGTGTCTCCGCTGGTTGCCATAACCTCAAACACTCCATTGTCGATGGTGAGGAGCGACACGTCGAAGGTCCCTCCTCCAAGGTCGAACACAAGGATGTACTGCTCCCCAGATCCCTTGTTGTCCAGACCGTAGGCGATGGCTGCAGCCGTTGGCTCGTTGATGATGCGGAGAACGTTGAGGCCTGAGATGGTTCCTGCATCCTTCGTCGCCTGTCTCTGAGCATCCGTGAAGTAGGCGGGAACCTAACAAACTCTGTCAGCCACCACTCATCTTCCTCCTCCTCCTCCTCCTCCTCCTCCTCCTCCTCACCGTGATCACAGCATTCTTGAGCTCACGGCCCATGTAGGCCTCTGCGGTCTCCTTCATCTTCGTCAAGATCACAGCAGAGATCTCCTCGGGGCTGAGAGGGAAGGCTTTTCAGTCTACAACCAGCAACGCGGCTTATGCCTACCTGAAGACTTTCTTTCCTCCCATGTAGGAGACCTCAACAAAGGGCTTTCCCTCGCGATCGACGATCTTGTACGGCAGCAGCTTCTTGTCATGCTGCACAGTCTTGTCGCCATAAGCACGGCCGATCAACCTCTTGATGCTGGAGGCAAACACCCATGAGACAACAACAGTAAGCAAAGGGGCTTGTCTCACTCGAAGATGGTGTTCTCGGGGTTCAAAGCTGCCTGGTTCTTAGCAGCGTCTCCGACCAGACGCTCATCTCCACTGAAGGCAACGTAGGATGGAGTGATGCGGTTGCCCTGGTCGTTGGCAATGATCTCTACCTATCAGGCAGACCTTGTTACGAGCCTGCGAACCGAGAACGGAGGAACTGGATCAACCTTGCCGTTCTTGTACACTCCCACACAGGAGTAAGTCGTGCCGAGATCAATACCGATAGTTGTGTCGATCTTCTTCTTCTCCTTTGCTTCTTCTCCCACAGCCACACTCACGCAGAGCTGGAGGAGAATGCTTCAGAACGAGGCCACAGAAAGCGCATGCAGTCGCAGCAGAGGTCAGATGAAGAGGAGAGGAGGAGTAAAATCCTTGTTTCTTGCGCGAGTGAGGACAAGGAAGACAGCAAATCGCAACACGTGGAGGCTCCTGCTGACCAGGGACAAGAAAACTGTGGAGCCACTGAAAGACATTTACACGACATGGAACGGAGGAGACAGCAAGAGCCAGAGGAAGATGATGGTATTTCTCAGGTATCAGGAGCAGAAGGGAGCGAGGGAGCGACGCGCGCGCATGTTACCGCGAGGAGGAGGAGAAAGCGGGCTGGCGCCATCGCTTGTGACGAAGAGAGGAGGCCGTGAGGCTTGAGAGGCCGAGATGGGGGTACTCCAAAAGTTTGGTGGGTACCAAGATGTGGCGCTTATGGCTGAACAGTAAAAGACAGGGGTGGGTGGGTATAATTGTCATCACCACCCTCAATTTGGTCCTTGATGAGGGGGGTTCCAATTGAACTTCGTGAAGGCGTAATGGATTAATTGCATGTTGGGGGTCCTTATGAGAAAAAGGGGGTGATGGCCGTGGGGTATGACCCCTCGTGGAGATTTTTAGTCAATAGCACCACACCGGTCCTTGGTAATGCAAATAAGGCGTACGTGGAACATTTAGACCCCCTTGCGTCATCATTGAGTACGATGGGCAAAAAGGGGTAGGGGTTATAACCCCCACCACCCCTCTGCGCACACAACTGCTGACCTCATTCTCTGAGTCTGATTCTTTCTGATCAAGTTGAGTGATCGTGCCAAGAACTTGACTGGCAGCTCCGGGCCGCCGGCCCGCCCGCTGTCGGCTGAGGAGCCCGGCCTCCGGCGGCCCCGGCGTGACGGCATGGGCCGGCTGGGCCGGCCGCCGCAGTGACTGAGGCTCCGGGGGCTTGTTAATGCCTGCCTGAGTTCCATGCTGGCAATGACCCGTGAGTGGCACGGTGAGGCTACTAGGCCCCGCCGTGCTGGCTGTCCCCGGGCCCTGCTATTTACTATCAACAACCTCCTCGAGGAAAATGGTGCAAGGGCAGTCAGAACATGCGTAGGGAAACCAGGGCACGCCGCACCCGAAAATGTCATTGCTGGTTTCACGCAGCAGCACCTCTTTGTCCTTTCGGATCTCCACCTGCCCTCGCTCACAGTCCACCCACACCTCGATGCTGTCTCCTTCAATGCACATTGCAAACTCCATGTCCACATGGCGCGAAAGGGTGGGAGCGCGGACCTCCCCCCGGCAAAGTATGCTGCCGTCCCATGACAACCATGCGATGCAGTGGGTCCTTGTCCTCTGTTTCCATTCCTTGCTAGCGCGCGGGAGTTCGTCCACTGGGATATCCTCCATGGCGATGCCCACGGCCAATCGCTCGACCCGTCCGGAGAAAGAGAAACGCCATCGCACGCTTCCTTGAATCTTCTTCGCTCCTAGAGCTCCTATCCATCTCTGATTTGACGCATTCCTGACAGACTTCCCGCCATGGCCGATGGTCATGCTGGGATGGGACCTGGAAGGAGACCAAGAGAGGAAAGACGACAGGTCATCGATGCTCCTTGGCTCCTCTCCTCCCTCTGCTTCCTCCCTGAGGTCAGCATAGTTCCAGGAACTTGACACGAGCCTGCCCTGATCATCCAGGCACTCTTCCCTTACACGCACACAGGTCTTGCGGGAGACAGGAGGGCAGAAAGCTGCTGGGATTGTGCAGCTTGTGCTGGGGCCAGCAAACACCGTCCTGAAGCTCACAGGGTTGCCATGGGCGTCAGCTTCCGACACTTGAACGAAGAACACGGATTGTTCGCGAGGAGTTGGGGATTCAGACGTTAGAGCCTTGCCGGAGAAGAAAGGTTGCCAGCTCACACTGATCGCACTTCCCGAACTTCTCATGCAGGTGACTGTGTACGGCTGCGAAATGCCGACTCGGAGCGACGGCTCCATCCTCACAAACTTCTCACGGAGATCGAGCGTCTCTTCTTGCTTGTTGGCATAGAGATCAGGATACTGCAGCCTGAGATGCGCCTCGAAAGTCTCATACCAATCGTATCGTGCATTCCGCACAACAGCGTCTGTCGGCTCTATCGCCTCACTTCCTTGAGCACTGACCAGATCACCTGGCGACTCCTGGAACTTCAACTCAACGGCAGGAACTGCCGTATCCGAGCCCACGATCGATATGAAAGGAGGTGAGAGAGGTTGAGAGCGAGCAGGATTCTGAAGCTTGAACGAGAACGAGGACCTATTTCCAGGCGCCAATTCTTCTTCAACCTGCACCTCTAACGTGCCATCTCCCTTGCTCCAGACTCCCGTGTTGGCAAAGGGGGCCGCCTTCTCCTTCTCCCCTGGGAATGTGATTTCCAGTTGACCGTCGTCCTCAGAAGCGGACCCTCTCAATCCTGAAACAACGACCCTCGCTCCCTGCATGATTCGGCGATTCAGCGAAAAAGAAACAGTGATAGTGTTCAGGGATCCTGGGTAGTTTGTGTCCGAATGTATCCCAGCATAGATGAAGAATGCCTCTTCTGCTGATTGCGTCATCCTGTCATTGGAAACTTCTGAATGCGATGAGTTGATGTCCGTCAAGTAAACGGGGTCAATCTCTACACATCCGACCGCTTCAAGGGAAACTCGATCCATAGCGAAAGGCATGGCTGGATTCCTGACGTGCAGCTCTAGGAAGTGCTTCTTGCGCGGGCTCAGCACTCCTCGGAGGTAGAGCAACAGATCACCCCTGTCGTTCCACGAGCCCTTTCCTCCTTGTTCAGAGTCCGGGCTGTTGGCAAAAAGTTTGGCAATGGAGCCACCCAGGTCCAGAAGAGGATCCTCTGTATCGGATGGTGCAAACATGTGGAGACCTGAGACCTGGAGCCAGCAGAGAGACTCTTTGCTTCCTCCTGCTCTTGCGGGACCTAGAGGGACGTTGGATGAGAACGCAATTGTGACGATGTTCTTCGAAAGCGGGGTCGGGCAGGACTGTGAGATGGTATGGTGAAGCCATTTCGCGTGGACTACTTGAAGGGGAGAGGGACCTGTGTCTCCTCCTGCCTTGTTTCTGCTGCTTCTTCCATCCTCAGCAAGCCTGTGCCAGTCCTCTCCTCTCCTCTTCGCTGCGGCATTCTTCGTCGCCCGGACGAACTCACTCACGACAGTTCCAGACCAGGAGAAGGTCTTCTCGTCGGTGTATGAGTCTTCTCCGAAGGACTGGAGGACCTGGCAGATCTCCTCGCAGTCGCTCAGGCTCATCTTGTCCCCTGCGATCCTCCCCTCCAACCCGGGCATCCACCCCGCCATATTGCCCCTGCTCTGATCAGATTTAGGTGGAAAGCGCGTTTACTCAAAAGTAAAAGTGGTACCAAGGTTTCCCAGTTTAAGAGATATTTGGTCTAATTTAAATAATTTCTTCTTAATAATAGTAGCTTTCAGCTAGAACAGAGTACCCTTGTCTTGGCTGCCTCTTCGCCATGCGATCTTACGGTACAGCGCCATCGGCACCATTGGCAGCTGCTCCTGCTGCCGCGCGAGCATCGAAGCACCTCCTCCTCCTCCCCTTGCTTGCCCTTGCTGCTGTCTTGCTCCTTGCTGCCAGCCGTGTGGCCCCAGTCGCACTCTGGAACGCTGCTCACAACGATGAGATCAGGTTGGACAACGTAGGCAGGCCCCACCCGTCCGAGTTTGCGCACACCCCCGTCTCCAACGGCAACCTCGAGAAGAAGCTCATGAGTGAGGTTCTCACTCATCGCCACCATGTCATCGTGGACCCCAGGGAGGTTCAGCAATACTACCAGCCCCTTAAGTGGATCCATGAGCAGGGAGAGCCGTCGGCCAGGGCCAGGCGCGGCGCAGCTCTTGGGCAGCGTAAGATTGCTCGTCAGCAGATGCTTTGGAACGATAAGATTCTCAGGATGAGCCCAGAGAAGGTCAACACCATGATCGCCAGCAGCGTGCGCTCCTTGGACAACCAGACTCCCAAGACTTTCCGCTCCAAGCTAAACCAGAAGATTATCAATGACATTCAAGCAGCAGACCACTGATCGATGGCATGCTGCTGAGATGCTGGTGGAGTGGTGAGAAAACGTTTTAGTAAATACAACAAGTTTCTCAGCCCGGAGTTTGTTCGATCCCAATCTCCTCGTGCACCAGTGGAATACAAACAGGCTGAAACGCGACTGACGAGTGCAGCATTTAAGTTTGAAGTTTGTGTGTGCCGAGATTCAGTTAAATAAGCTTTGTTCCGCTCTTCAACAGGTAATGACGATACAACTCAAGACACCCAACATGACAACCTGGCAATGAATGATTGTCTTCGTACAGAACCTGTGAAAGAGACAGGTATCAGCACCAAACCACTGTCAGAAGCCAGAGAATAACACCTGGCGGATTAGATCTTGTATGCTGACTGTGAAAATCTTGAGAGATTCGAAACGATCTTTGAGTTGTGCGCTTGAATATCTCTCTATCACCTGCCTCATTCAACAAATGAAGACGCTCAATCCCACGAAAGATGTCAAACGTCTCTACGGGTCACCTCTGAAGATGAGAGTCGGGTTTTGACAAGGAACAGCATACACGTACGATGATTCACAACTCGCCTTGCAAAGCCTAAAAAGATCTTCCAGCTGCGGAGTCAGAGGATTGCAAACGGTCCAGTGGACGTACCGGCTCCTCCACTTCGGACGGCAAGATGCCAGTCTCCTCCTCTACCTCTTCCAGGATTGCATTCCACAACTCGCTGACAACCTGTGTAGTTCTTGCATCAGCTCCAGGAAGCAACACAATAGGAAATCTAACATCGTCCTCCGTCGGCACAGTTCCTTTTTCATTCATTTCATTCCAGTCCTGTAAGCTCTTGATCCCTATCCTCTCCGGCTCGGCGTGACCACCTGGTAGTACCACAGCCTGAGCGAGGTGAAGACGTAAGCTGTGTTGACCTCCAACAGTGAGACTACTATCCCAACTCACATTGTGACATTCACCCACATTCCCGCTTCTTTGCAAGAGTACGATCTGGCCATCGCAAGTCTCCACAATCGCAGCGTTCCCCAGAGTATTTGCCATGCATTCTCCAGAGTTTGCATCTTTCTCGTGGACTTGCAAAGTCTCTCCTGAAGGAGTCTCATACTCAAAAACATTTTCTCCGGCATGCTGGTTCTGCGGAAAGAAGGCTTATCAGAGATGGATGACGACAAGACAAACATGATCTAACCAGATCTTCGCTCAACATGGAACCCCAATCAGCACGAAGATTTGTTCCGACATGCGCTCTATAGTCCGTTATACCGAACTGCAGGAGTACATGACTTTCTTGATTCCTCTCGTCACCACTCAATGTGAAGCCTGAAGTCGTATGTTATCAAACTCCCTAGAAGGACAACGCGTGCCTGCAAATCTGAATTTTGAGCCGTTGTACAAGAAGGAGTTCTTTTCTATCTTTGATTTCCACTCAGCTTCCACGCAGTCTTCAGAAGAGCTTGTTCGTCTGTCATTGCACCTGCGCTGTGCGCTCATCTTCACATTCAAAAAAGGCTCCCGCCCGGCGAGGTTACCTGTTCAAATGTGCCTTCACCTGCGTCCGCTTCATCCCCTCAGGGAGGCAGAGGAGCAGGTCGAAACTGGCAGCAGCGGCGCGAGAGATCATGGTGCAAGAACAAGAGCGGAAGAGGATGAGAGAGCCAAGCACCAAACTCACTGCCCTCCTTCTACGCCCCATCCAGCATACCCTCCAGCATCAGCTCCAGCATGCCTTTCCATTAAAATTATTGATCGCACGGTTATGACACCGTTACATCAGATTGATCGAATCACAGTTGGAATCATCCGGCTAGCCTAGTAGCACGGCCGTAGTACAATCCGGGGCCGGCCGGGCCGGGGCCGGGCTCCGGCCGCCGGCCCGCCGCGCCGGGCAAATGGCGGCGGTGGACAAGGCTCAGTCACGCCCCCGCGGTTGTGTCATGGTATCCTGCATTGACATTCATTGTTCAAGCATTATGGAAAATCTAATTAGCATCTTCAACTTTTAGGGTTCCAAATAGGCCCAAGTATCATCCAGGTTGATCTTCATTCAGCCGCTTTCTCTGGAGACTCATCGCCGCACTTGATTCGCAAGAAGCCCTTTACTTTGATTGGCTTGCCAAGAGTCTACAGTAATGTCAGGACATGAGAAGACACAATGAAGTGGAGATGGACAGACCTTGGAGGCTGACTCGATCACGTCCTTGACCTGCATCGTGATAACCATGTCAACAATAATAACTTGGAGCATTTTAGAGCAGAAGACCTTCTTCTTCTTCTCATTCTGACCAACAATTAGATAATCTTGCTCATGCAGCACAACTTCCTCCTGTTCAGAAACTTTCATCAGCTCCATCTTCAGCAGAACAAAAGATCAGTTCTCACATGCCACTTTTTCAGCCTTCCAGCAATCATCCTTTCAACCACATCCTTTGGCTTCCCGCTCTCTGCTCCCTGAACAAGACCTCACATCGCGTGCTGCACTAGAAACCATGAAGATGGTGCACCTGGGCACGGAAAATTTCGGACTCCTTCTCGATGGCTGCTTGAGGAATGTCCTCCACCTTCAAGTGGACCTCAGTGGAGCCATCAACCTCCTTATACGCATTACAGTGTTGAATTTGGGCGAGGCGGCCGCTATGTGCATAGCTAGCTCCATGCCGAAGGATTCGAGGTCCTTTCAAGCACAATTAAGCGCGCGAAACTTCGCCGTCAGTTTGTGGAGACCTTCGCAGAGAGAGAAGATTCCAAGGCCACGAGCACTCCAAGCTTTCCCACATCATCTCCCATTGGTGTGTGAATGTACTTCACAATGCAACCCTCGGAGACTTCGAGCTTTTGAGCACGACGAAGCTGCAGTGCAGGGTGAGCTCAGAGTTGACATGCAAGTGAAACAAATCAGACCTGGCAATTTTCTCCGACCGTCGCAACCATCTCCTTCACTGCTTCGTCAATGCTCACCTACTCGTACTGTCAATCCATAATATGTCGCCATTGAGCCTTCCACATACAACTTACCGCAGACGTGGACTTGGGTCCACTGGCAACAGTCTCTTTCTTGAAATCTTCTACATCCATGTCCGACTTTGTCTTCAATCTCACTAGGCAGATATCCTCAACTAGCTTCTTGAAAATAGGATTCTTTGCCACAAAGTCTGTTTCTGAATTTAGCTCGACTACAGCTCCGCTCTTCTTGTCATCTGAGCTCAAAAATATGAGAATTTAGAAATGCTTCACATCAAAATTCCTTGGAGCTTGACAGCTACAAGTCCATCAGCCGAACGGCGACCGATTTTCTTCGCTGCACTTGCAATTCCCTTCTTTCGCAGCCAATCCATTGCAGCTGTCACGCACGGAGCATACTTTGAGCAAGATTACAAAAGAAGAAGAGAAGATCACTTGTCATGTCCCCGTTGCAAGCTTCCAATGCTCTCTTGCAGTCCATCATGGGCGAGCCTGTCTTGTCTCGCAGTTCCTTCACCAGGGAAGCAGGGGTAGAGAATGCGCGCAAGTCAGCACGTGCATACGCACAAACCGCAGCGCGGACAGACTGAACAATGGGCCTCGCTCTAACGCATCTTGCAAGCCTGTAAGAAGATAAAACTTCATCAGAAGTAGAAGTCGAACACTCATCTTTGGTGCATCCCCCACTACTCATGCAAACAAAGAGACCCTTCGTAACAAAGAACAAACGCCGTCGATCAAGCCCACCAAGATCCGGGACAGACAAGAGGAGACGAGGACTCAGGAAGGCTCATCTATACGAGACAGGAACAAGGGACAAGAAGAGAAGAGCAAGGATGACCAAGAACTGTGCCGCCTCCCCCTTCCCCTCTGCTCACATGCTTCGAGCCAGCATCGCCGCCTCTGCTCACGTCAGGATGAACTTTCACTCAATTCTCCTCTGAAATCTTACCAGCCTGGCCCGGGTACACCTGGTACTCAGTACTACCGTACTGGCCGCCCTGGCACAGTGACTGACGGACCGCAGGCCCGGCCCGGCCCAGGGACCGCCGCCCGGGCCGGGCGGGCCTCGTCGGAGGGCACTGCGGCAAGTTCCGAGACGGTCTCAACCGTGCCACGGTGTCCCGGGCGCACAGCACGTCCCGCCACTGAAGGCCTTGTGGTGGCTGGCGGATCAGTCGCTCGGCGAACAAGCCTCGGAAACGGCAGCGCTGAACTTCGGAATGGCCTCTCGGCCTCGCGCGGAAGACGTCTGAAGGTGATCCGACTTGCAAACGCATCCGGTCCACTGCCAGGATCTTTCGGCGGAGTCAGCCGCCCAGTCAAGCCCGGCCTCCCTCTCCTTCGCCGAGGCTGCCATCATCGCAGGTGCATTCCGGTAAGCGTCTCATTCCTTCGGCGGCGGCCACAGCGACATGCCACGCATTGGCAGGATGGGGTTTGGTTCTTGCTGTCTTTTCTCCGAGGCTTCTCGCCGTTTGGCCAGTGCGACAGTGTCAGGGTCAAGCCCGGCCTCCTCCTCCCTATTGATTTTTAACAAGTTAAGTTAAGGCATTGTGCGGCGCTCAGCGGCCGCAGTGGCCCACCTCCGCTGGATCGGATGCCGCGGATCACAGTGACTGAAAGTTGAAAACTAGCGGCAGTGAACCACTATCGGTTCGTGGCACATGCAGCAAGGAGAAGGACAGACCACCTGAGCAGTTATCGATCATGAGGCATGGGGAGCCACCAGGGGTGGTGAGGCTCCTGACCGTACGCACGAGTGAGTATGCCTTGTGCGTCCGCTTAGATCGTACACAACAGGGGACATTTATGCAAGGTACGGGTGGTATCTCCTGTACTGTGGCTGAACCTCGATGAGGAGCAGGCAGCAGATCTAAGCGGACGCACGAGGGATGCTCACTCGTGCGTGAGGAGCCTCACCACCCCTGGTGATTCCCCCTGGCTATCATAAAGGGATCTTCAACAACCGCTGAGGTGGTCTGTCCTTCTCCTTGCTGTGTGTGCCACGAACCGATAGAGTGTCTGTGTTACTTCTCAAATAAACATCTTCATACCTCTATGTCTCGTCACCTTTGTGTGTGATCCAGCGGAGGTGCCTTTAGCATTAGCTGTAGACGTTTGCAACTCGTGATCATAGGGCGATAAAACTTTCTTGTATCATGCCAAAACTTTCTTGTGCATGATACAAGAAAGCTTCTTGTACTCGAACCTCCCCCAAGAGCGAGTTGTTGACAATCAGGCTTAGTTTTAGATCATTTCCTAAATCCAAGTGACTGTACAGATTCGTTTATTGACACGGAGAATTATATACAAAAGCTTTACCACCTTGTGGTTGGCACAAATAGTTTCCACTTTGTCGCGTCATCCCTTGCATGCATATTCGAGGACTTTGATGAAGCTTTCGAATCAAGATTTCCCTTTGTGAAACACTCATGGAGCATCGGAGAAATGTCTTGCTTGCGAAGGATTGGTCCTTGTCCAGAGTCTGAGGAACGATACGTGCCACGAAGGGTATGCTGACGCGAGAATTCAAAGCTGGATGACTGAGAGCTTCTCTGGGAACCAGCCATGCTTGTCGTGTGCATTTCGGAAGACGAGTGTAGCGATGCTGCACAGGATCGGTAAGAACCTCGGGAACAAACCTAGCACAAGACAAACGCGCCAGCCAGTGGGTGTTCTGTGCTTCTGAGCGCGTGGACGGCCAGAGGGGATTATATCAGAGTGGAGGAATTTGGAGGAGGTATCTGAAGCTAAGTTCACAAGGGCTTTCTGTGGAAGGGTGGGGGTACAATATCACAGAATGGGTGGAATGGAATGTACTGGTAGGGTATGTCAAGGTCCCAGTCGGAGCACAGAGAGACAGCTGAAACAGTGGGGTAGGGGTATATCCAAAACAGTCTAGTGGGTAGGTGGTGATACGTGGGTGTGGAGGTGACTGGGTGGTTGACGGAACCAAAACACAAGGAGCATTACAAAAAGTACCGGTAGATCCAGGGGCAATGACGGGGTAGGGTATTCGGATCGGAGTTCAGGTCACGGTGTGTGGCAGGTGAAAGGGGGGTAAGGGTACTGTTCTTACATCTGAGTTTGAGTCAAAACGGCAAGGGTGGGGGTACATGTCAGGATTAAAAGGGGGTGATGGTTGAACTCCGGAAGTCCGAGGATCCTAGAGTGGGTGGGGTGGGCGGATGAATGGATACACACTAACGTCCCCCTATGACCATTTCAATTGACCCGTGCGAGGACAAAAAGTCAAAAACATAGTTTCGAAATAATATCTATGAATCCCTGTAGAAAATTTGAAATTTTGGGCGGCGGTCACGTTACTTTCGGCAGTCCTTCGACCAGGCAAACAATTCTATGACGCAACCTGGACAAGGGGAAATCTCCCAAATGTTTGGAGTATAGAATCGTTATTTCAAATATACCTGACAGAGTTCGTTATAGCTGGTCAAAATTTCAAAGTCACCTTTCGTCAACTTGTGGGTCATCATGAGTGTGACGTGACTCCTGCCGTCTACGACGGTCAATCATGAATAGAGGAGCTTTTCCACGAGTCCGCCCCAGCCTGTGCTGCCGTGACCTCACAATGTGACTTCAGCCTGAGTAACATCGAGTCGGGCGGGGCCGGGGGGCCAGGGGTGACTGGCCCGGGCTATGATGAACGTGAAACCCGATAACTAAAAGTGGGCGGATAACCAATTTAACTTTATACATGGCTGTTTATCTTTATACATGCTTGTACACGCACATACAATCGTTCGTGCCGCCCTAGGGACGCAAGGCTGACCACCCCCACCCCTTCCTTCCCAGCCACTCCCTCACATGCACTACCTACCCCGTCCCCTCAGCCCTCCCGCGCTCGGAATGGATTCGGGGGAGTGGTGCGAGGGCTGTGGGACAGGAACGGCGGATAGTGGGGGAGACATGACAGGCGATGGCCTTGTAGGCGATCGCAGCGCACCATCGAACTTCATTCGCATTGGTAAGAGCTGAGACATTGGCGACTTGAACAGATGGTGAGGGGGACGTCTGGAGCGATGAGGCTGCTGCTGGTCGTCGCCATGTTGCTGCAAGTCTCCAGCCTTACAACTCTGACGAGCCTTCCAAGGCCAAAGTGTTGGGTCACCTCTGTCAGGCAGCATGGATTGCTGCAAGCGGAGAGAATGAGAGGAGGAGCGTCGATGTCGCGGGAGTGGCTTGTGCTGTTTTCGATGTATCTCTCTCGAGCAGCATGCGATCGAGCATGGGCGTTCTATGTCAGCGTGTTGGTCGACAGCAGGTCAGGCTCCATGCTCTTCATCTTCCGAACTATCGTTCAGTTTCTTTTCGGATATTTCGTGACTAGGAAGGATTACGATTGGCTTGATCTTCACGCAGCTTTCCATGCGAAGGTGTTGCTGTTCGTGCAACAAGCTTCCTTCTTCGCGCTTGCAGCCTGCCTTCATGGCTTCTACATGCGACAGAAGACTCCGAGTGCGGTGGGCATGGTTCTTGCTGGAATCTTCTCCGGCATTGAGGTGACTCTGTCAAGGCACTTCAAGAACGTCAAGGGAAAGCGAGATGTCTACCTGCTGGCGTTGAAGTCTGTAGAGCCCTCTCAGAACCCCGACGTCACAATATCAAGAGCCAACGCCCTCCTGTCCCGCTTCGACTTAGCTTGTGCCACCCTCTCTCCCCTGGCCGTCTCCCTCCTCATCTCCTCCTACGGCAAGGCGTCCACGTTGATCGCTCTGATTGCAGTGCAAGTGATCACTGCTGTTGTAAACACAATCTTGTTGTCCGTTGGAGATGCAGGAAGCAGTGAACCGAAGAACGAGATCAAACCGGTGAAGAAAGGAAGAGAACTCAAGACGGAGCAGGCTCCCATTGTGCCATGGCAGATCCATGCATTGGTGGTCTGCTATTCTCTCCTCTTTTTCACAGTCTTCAGTCCCAATGGGCTCTTCAACATGTACCTCAGCGAGAGCGGCATGCCCAATCATCAGATCGCGATGTTTGGTAGCTCCGCTCAGTTCTGCGGCGTCATTGCCACCGTCCTCGTGCACCACGTCGTCCATTACTGGGGGATCATCCGCACGTGCCTTGCCTTTCAGTCCCTTCAGTCCGCCAGTGTGATCGCTGCAGCCCTTTTGGTACGGAGGAGCCTCATGGCAGAGGCAGCCTTCTTCTGCACGCTCTCGCGGCTGGGCTTCTGGGGGTTCATCCTGTGTGAGAGGACGTTGATTCAAAAGCACACCAGGGCAAGGGTGCAGGTGTTCACGACCGAGACCAGCCTGACGGAGATCATGTCTCTGGCCATTTTCGTCTCTAGTCTGGCCTCAAACAACTTTCAGCTGCTGTGTTGGCTGTCAGCGGCTGCTACAAGTGCATGCTCTCTCCTGATCGGACTCGTTTACTTGGTGCCCTTGAAAGGAGAATGAACTTTTGACCACGGAAACAGCTACCTTGTCATCGCGTATGAACTATTGCGTTGCTCCGGGTTCGATCTCCCAGCTGCAACTCCAAGATGCACTTTACCCCTTTGGCACCAGGTGAGCGGAGAGGGAAGCATTGGGGCCACCTTACCTCTCTCGAAGTTTTCGACCCAATAAACAACATTGAATAACCTTGATAAAAGTTTTTCCTGTGCCCCAATTATCACTTCACAGCGAAGAGGATTTCCATGAAGCAGGTCTAACGCGATTGAGCCGCAGCTTCATGGATGTTACGAGTTCCTTTCTTCGACTCAGCTTTACCGCCATATCCTCATAGTCCTATGGCAACATTCCAGGCTCACTGCAGCGATAGCAACTCAACGACGGTACCTTCTCATTGCGTGCAACAAGGATTCCTGAAGAAATCGCGAAGGAGAACGATGAAGAAATCCGAGAAGCCATGCTCTCCAACGGAAGAACGATCATGCTCACCCCCGCCTTCGAAGCATGTGAGAGGACAACATCGCACCATGTTCAATACCCATAGAGCATCTCCGGCAGTAACATGTGCGTTGTAGTTGGGTGTATCAAGAAAGACGTCGGCATGGCCCTTTTCATAGATGTGAGGGGAAAGAAAGCGAATGACTGGGGTGACACTGGCTGATAAGAAGATAGCAGTGAGACGGACCTTGATGAAAATATGATCCGAAGATGAAAAGGGAGTCGAGAATATGAGCCTTGACTCATTCACACCTGGAACAACTCAACCATGACTGCGAGGAATATTGTGATGGAGGTTCCAACCTGCATTCATGGCTCTGGATTTTAAATTCTTTTCTGTGCCGTCTGACATTGCTAAACGTGTTAACCACAGCAAGGAATTATTTGCCTGGTTGAATGTCAGAAGATGGAAGCGACTCAACGATGGCGGCAATTCCTGTGTCATTATGCGCATCCAGCTGTCCCAGGTACGGTGATTGATCTTTTTCACACGATTGAAACACGCAAAAAGTATTTCATAGTGATCTTTCCGCAACCAATGATATCTGCTTGCTCGTTGGTCGATATTCAAATTGATCACGATACTAACTCTTCTGGTACAGGTCTGACGTCCGCCCTGGTTCCGAAGAGATTCTTGTGGGCTAGTACATGATGCGATGATGGAAGCAAGAGCAGATTCTCCGTGAAGAAGGAGCTGAGACAGTCTCAAACAAGTTGCAACAAGTTTCTAAACGATCAGATACCTGTAGTCCGGAGGTGTACTGACGCGATCGGTCAACAAGTAGTCCACAAATCTTAACCTGCAGGCGATGGAAATTGACAAGACGCAGCTGAAGAATCAGTTGCATGAGTTACCCACTAGTGCCAGCATATCCAAGAGCATTAAGAATCAGCATCGCGGGCCTGTTGGAAAGAAACCTTCAGTAACTTGAATCTAGGCCAGAGACAACCTGTGCAACAATATGTCATTGCGATCCTCTCCTGACCATCCGTTGAGATTCACTATCACATGTAATTTCTGATACATAAGGAACGGCTATCAGCAACACACCAGGCATTGTCAGGATTGGAATGGATACTTGCTGGTTCAGTAAAGAAGCAGCCTTTGAGCTCCGCATGTCGCCCACCTGCAAGAGGCCGTCAAAATCCTCCCCGCACCACACGTCCAAATCTTTTTACGGCAATATATTGGCTCCCACATTCTCGAAGAACCTTGGTTCAGTATTCATTATGAATATCTGATCAAAGCCACCATTACCTCGGATCTCCAGTTCACATTTGATCTGTTGATTCCTTTTGGATGAGCATCTAGGCAGAAAACTTTAACCTTTGCCCGAGTCAGGATTCACATTTGCCAGAACATGAGGATGTGAACGCACTTGTTTCTTGTTGTGCGCTTCAAGAATTGGCAGCAACAGCTGTCCGATCGGATGGCTCAATTTGAAATCAGACGAAAAGTAAGCAATTGAGACAGGTCTGTGAATATCAAGCGATCGAAAAGGAGCTGAAGGTGCAAGTTTTGCAGCTTCCATGTTCAAATCAGAGGCATACATCTTCGATTAGAAGTGTCATATTGAATATGATTTACTCGCTTCGTACCTGTGCCAAGTGGAGAAATTCCAATGCATCAAAGTTGAAGTACAATGCTTCATAAGGGCTCAAGAATCGTTTGATTTTGCTCTTTGCAGTCGCGGCTTTATCAAGGTGAAGTCAAGACACACAGCCCTCAAAGAATCTAAGTACCACGTATGGCTTTCAGCTCCTCTTTCATACCAGAAAGGTATGACTCCATTTCTTCCCAATTACCTGAAACAATTCAGCTCTAGTACGATTAAGTTGAGTTTGTACAAGTCGTCTGGAGCGCCGATAAAAGGCTGGAATGGCATTCTTTTGACCCATCTACTCAAGTTCAATGTTTTTGCTCATCGAGAATTCATTTCACCTTCACTGCTCTCCTTAGAACAGACGCTGAATTGTCATAATCGCGCATTTCATTGCTTGCAAATGTGGTCCTTTGTTCCAAATGTGAGGAACAGACAGCAAACATTTCATTGATACCCTATCGTCCAAAGGTCTAAAGCTGTGATCGATGGAAGATCTCTTAATCGAAAAAGGATGAACTTTGCGAGATTGACACTTCCAAGTTGAATCAGTCGTTTGACAATCTCGGGAACGAGTGCCATGATGGATTCACGATGCCTGGACTCGTACCACGATCTTCTCATAGCTGAATAGATCATGGGAGCGAATTCTTCCTTGTACAAATTGCTTTTCAATCTGAAAGCTTTGCACAAACACACACTTAGAATTGCATTCAAAAACCGAAACAATCAATGAATACCTGCTATTTCAAAAAGTGCAAGCGCACTATCAATCTTATCCCCAAGTCTGAGGATCATCTGACGAAGTCTTGATTCCATCTCAACAACTTCAGGTGAAGGATGCTCTAGTATGCTCAATGAATTGGCGAAGGCCCTTAGATTCTCAAGATTGGACGGCTCCGAAGTGGCAGATTGCATCAAAAGATAAGAGGCCCTCTCCACTTCACCTACTTTGCCTAGTTATGAAATATTGAATTTGATGGAAACAAGGAATTTCTTTCCTGTCTCCAAGAGAAGAGATCCAGCATTAAAATACGAATCGGCAGGGCTGGCTGAAAATTTTGAAGCATTCAGATACTGAAAGATGATGGTAAGTTCCAACAGGTCAGCAAAGCCAACGAAATACAGCAAAGATCGCTTGTTCACTGTTTTTCTGGAGACGATAGACATTGCCCAAATTATTGTAGGCATGGGATATCGTATCTGCAACTAGATTCTTGAACAGTATCAGTTCTATAATGAGAGACATCCGTACAGCTACCGAACAACTCGCTGCCATCGAATAAGCTTCTTGCGCAAGAATCCAGCTTTCGATAGAAGCCCAGCAGTTCCCACACATCAACAGCATTGTCCCGACATGTGCCTCATTGCAAGCTTGATGGGACCTAGATGAGAAAATCATGATCTGCATTGCCGTCAGCGCGAGGGGATACCTGATCCTGCGTATGCTTGCACAGCTCTTTGCACAGCATTGGAAATCTCCAAGATAGAGGCAGCTGCGCGCGATCACGTCGTAGCCAGCAGAGTCCTCTGCAGCACAGCATCGTTCATACTTTCACATGGTCGGTGTACACCTCACCCACAGAAAATCCCAGGAGCTGCTCACCACAGGAAATCGCAGCATGAAACTACCCGGCAAACATGTCAAGGAACTTTATATGACAATTTCTACTTCCTGCCTGAGACTCTGCGATGAGCCTCTCAGCCGTTTCAATTACAGACAGCTTGTCCGATGATGATGTAGGACATGGCTTCCTTTGGACCCCGCAGACAGCAAGCAACCAGGTTAAGTTGATGCAAGCGCGAAAAAGTGGGTAGAATCGCATCGAAGACGGGATCGATCTCGACTTGGAGAGCAAGTTGGACTCCCCGTCACTCACTGCATCTTCAGATGTTCTGGAATTCTCGAATCCTCATCCTCTTGATCTCCCTTGAGATTCATCAGCTCGATTCAAACGAAGTTCAAGGGAATACCTCTGCAAGAAGATGCTGCTTCAGTTCCTCCTCTCCCGAAGTCTCTTGTGAGAAGGAACCGCCCAAAAACAATCTGCTTGGAAGTTGAGTGAGAATGAGCTTCATAACAGTACTATCTGAACCCGATGAGGTACAAGATGTAGATCGCCTTTGAAGAAAGTCAGGTCCAGTGAAACGAAGCGACTGTTTCCTCCTTACCGCAATGCCAACTTGCATGACAAGGACGAAACGGATCAAGAGCAGATACACCTGTGTGGACCGTCAGAACAAGACCAGCATGCACCGCCATGCTGGCGATCGGCAGCCAGCGCGCAGCACACACCTCCCCTTCGCTGAAATCCCACAGCATTAGGAGAGTGCTGAAACTCATCGCCCTCGTATGCCAGACTATGTCCTACAGAAACTGCTACAGAAATAGGTCCTAGCACATTGGTTGAGTCATAAGTAACTCAACTAGTGGAAATGGTCCTAGGAAAGTCATGTACTAGGGGTATTATGAAAGGACCGGTGGGTTGGGATTTTTGGCGCCTTTTTTTTCCTCCACCACAAACTTTGGACATCATGGCATCGCCACAGGCAAACAGCGGGAGGAGGAGGAGGAGGAGGAGGAGGCTAGGCCCTCCAGTTGAATGGATTGATCACGTGAAGGATAGATCCGACATACAGGACGGGGAACTGAGAGAAAGGAGCCAGAAATGTGCAGCAGAACCTAATAGCAACGGCCAACAAACATCAGAAGCAGATCACAAACAGGTACAAATTCTTGCAGAGTGCTTTTGATCTTTTGATGACATTCATAGATTGAAAATTTGAGAGCTGAAGTAGCAAAGAGGGAAGAGATGATCAAACTGATGGAGCAGAAGCATGCTTTTGAAATGGAGCAAGCCTTAGCAAGCAGTAAGGAAAAGAGACAAGAGCTGGAGGGAAAGCTTCTTATGGAAAAGGAGAAAACCCAAGAACTGCAAAGCACAGGAAGGTAAAATGGCTTGAAGTACAAGATCACTAAAATGAAATTGAGCAGTAAACACCCTTGCTCAGAAAATGTCGCAGTGGAAGTCGGACCTATTCATGTTGGTAAAGTCGGAAACTGTAGACCGTAGGTAGGGTGATTAAAGAATGCGTGAATACACCAAGTAAGGCAGTGCAAATATGGAATACTTCTAGAGAGCACAGCGGTATATTTCCGATTTACACCAGATTGCTTTAAATCTACACGACAGTCGGGCCAAAATCATGGGAATGCTCTGACCTGCAGGCTTTGTGAGAAGAGAGCATTTATCATTTTGATCAAGCTGACCTGTTCAGCAAGAAAGGCCTCGTGACCAATGATGATAAGACAAACCCTCCGAAACTGTAGGGGGCAATAGAGTTTGCAACGCCGATCGCACCTGAAAACTATAGGTCAAATCTTTCAATCAATTGGCGGTGAAGCATACAAAAATGGGCTACAACAGCCGTTCCACCCACAGAAAACTCCTTAGACCTGCATGGAGAGGTTCAAAACTTGTGTTCTATGACTCCTGGGTGATCACATAGTAGATTTTTCTTGGAAAAGCTCTCGAATAAGATATACTTGAATGCCGGACGCTACAACGCTGAGCCCCATGCTCCCGACAGCTGTGGGAAAGTTTTAAAGAAGATAAATCGAAAAACCGAATCGCAACCTGCAGGAATGCTGGCTTGCGCTGCTCTCTGGAGAGTGCCTGGAAGCGGAATCACAGTTTTCTGCCTGATGATCCTGTCCAAATCCTTCACAAGAAGGAAGACATAGACTGTTCCGGAATGCACCTGTAGTGTCGGAGGGTTCCCCATAGCGATCCGCAAACTCCCGCCCATAATGCATTCTTTTAAAGCAAAATGTTAAGACGACTTTAGCGATGATCAAGCAAACAACCAGCATGACCCGCGGAAAATCCCATGAAATGTCTTGAGAAGTGATCTTGCTGTGAAATCTGGTTTCGGACAAACTGTACAGATATCATGAATTATCACAATACGACGACAACAAAGAAAGGTACATGGGCTCAAATGTTGCGTCGTAGGATAAACTTGGAATCGCATTTGCAATCTCTCTTGATACATCGACTGCAGCAATCACATGTTATCCAACAAAGAGCTCTGAGGTGCAACATTCTTATTACCTATCAGCCTTGCAGCGAGAGGATCGGAGTCTTTCTTTCTGTGATACAAATCGACAAGACTCTGGGGAAAACAATGGAAACGAGAGATCAAAAGAACAGGCAAACACAAACAAAAACTACCTTCGTCAACTCCGGCGAATTCAAGAAATTCGTCGACTAAGCCATTCAACGTCTTAATGTAAGATTGAATCGTGAAAATAAAGAGTGCACCTCTTCACTCCGAAGCTTTGCAATTCCACCAATCGCACGAATAATGGCCTTGCAAATGAACATGTGAATTTAACAAAAGAAACAATCGAGTTTCAGCTAACCAGTCTGCGGATGTTATGGTTCTGGAACTCCAAGATTTCTTGGCGGGTTCTTGGAATGATTTCATCTCTTGATAGGATATCGAGCATGAGCTTTTGAGCAGCTTGTACAAGCACATGTGAGAATCGAATAGCAAAGCAAAAGAATCACCTGTGCTCTTGCACAAGATTTCCTGGCCGCGAGGATCGGTCGCGATGCTTGCTACCAACATCGCTTCTGAAGGAGTCCAATTCCGAGCCTTAGTTGTCTCTCGTACAACAGCATCGTTCATGTCTGTCTGCTCGTCGTCAGCAGCGTAGGATCCAAACGTTTGCCCGCGCGCAAAATGTGATGGAGCCCTGGAGGGTTTTCCTTCACTCCTATTCTGTCGATATTCCAACGCAAGTGCCGCCCAGTCATATTCGCTCTCATCTGAGATGAGCGAGTTAATAACATCCATGTACCTCTCTGAAGCGAAAAATCTCTCCCTGCCTCGATCACAATCCATAACAACTGCAAGCATTTGAGAGCTAAATTCCCGATTGTTGAAGGCAGACACGAATTGATCGCGAAAATTGTCTATTTGCCCGCTAGAAATTGACAGAGCATACAAGTTCTCTAGCTTTGAGACATAATCCTGTAAATCGTTGCTCGTGCGTACCTGCAAGTTCACGAGAGCCTCGACACAACCATTCCTCGCCAGCTTCTCTCGCACTTCATCTGGCCTGCGCCCAGCGAACACGAAAAGAGCGCGAAGAGCTTTCAAACCCGAGGATGCACGCAATTCTTTGACAATCCGCTTGTAAAGATTTTCATCTTCAATAGAATTGATGACGTAGATTGTCAATGACCCACTTGCAACTGCGAATATCCATGGCCATAGAGTGTATCGTCCCTTGGAGTAATCATTGCCGTTCCCTTCAGTTGGTGTGCTTGAAAACCTTCGATTGTTTGCAAATGAAAACTGCATGACACGATGGTGAACACTCGGCACACTGATCTGCGCAGATCGCAGACATTTAAATCGACACAACTGAGTCAAATGATGGCGTGCCTGAACCCATTCATGCCGGAGAAACAGCGCCTGCATGGAAGGAACAGGGATCAGCTAGTCGAAGAACGCAACAAGGAAAGGGAGGAGAAACAACAAGAACAAGTGCCCGCATGCAGCCATTACACCATCTTTCCAAGCGGTTTGCGCTGAGCGGCCATACCATGATCTGAGGCGCACCTACCGAATGTTCGACAGGCAGTTAGCCCGGCGGCCCGCGGACTCGAGCCCCGCCCCGGCGGCGCGGCGTGTCCGCCGCCGGGCCGTCAGGGGCCCGGGGCCGGGCGCGGCAGGATGGTGGGCCGTGCGACTCACTGCCGATGCCATGACTCAAGGGCTTTGGAGTTTACTACTCAAGGGCCGTTTGCTCAAGACAGAGTTTTTAATGGCACACGAAACTCACAGTAGTCAGCCACGAGCCGGGGTGCAGTCAGTCACAATTGAACGAGAGATAAGATAAGATCGGACAGGAAGAAAGAGAGACTCTGTGAAGCCTCCGCTTGTCCGCCTCCGCTTGCCCGCCGGCTTTTGAAGACCGGCCACAAGATAAAATTTGAACCGTAAAGAACTTGTGGCCAGAGTTTGCTGCCACGAAGTTGGAACATCCGTTTCGTTGAAGGCAAGTGAAGATGTTGCGGCAGTACGGTCCTTGATGGATCGCATGCCAGCCGTGCCAGTCAATGATAGCGCCGAGTTAACAAAAATGTCCTGTAAACGGCAAGACGACCGTCACGTGTTTCTCATGATGTCTGGATGCTTAGTTTCACATCCTAGCATACAGTCTATCTGTCATGTGCTCCTCAACCCTTGCTTCTGGTGCATTTGACTCGTTCTTGAGCAAAACCTGGCTTGTTACAACTGAGGTCAACCAATTTCTGCATTACTTTGCCATAGTACAGTTCTAGCCAATTTGTATTCTGCACTCCTTGCATACCGATTACCGCCGCCCGTGCTCGCATATGCTGCTGCCCCCGCACTCCTTGCATTGTGATCGCTGCCGCCCGTGCTCGCATATGCTGCTGCCCCCGCACTCCTTGCATTGTGATCGCTGCCGCCCGTGCTCGCATATGCTGCTGCCCCCGCACTCCTTGCATCGTGATCGGACCCGCCCGTGCTCGCATATGCTGCTGCCCCCGCACTCCTTGCATTGTGATCGCTGCCGCCCGTGCTCGCATATGCTGCTGCCCCCGCACTCCTTGCATCGTGATCGCCGCCGCCCGTGCTCGCATATGCTGCTCCCCCCGCAGTCCTTGCATCATGATCGCCGCCGCCCGTGCTCGCATATGCTGCTCCCCCCGCAGTCCTTGCATCATGATCGCCGCCGCCCGTGCTCGCATATGCTGCTGCCCCTGCACTCCTTGCATCGTGATCGCTGCCGCCCTTGCTCGCATATGCTGCTGCCCCCGCACTCCTTGCATTGTGATCGCCGCCGCCCGTGCTCGCATATGCTGCTGCCCCCGCACTCCTTGCATCGTGATCGGACCCGCCCGTGCTCGCATATGCTGCTGCCCCCGCACTCCTTGCATTGTGATCGGACCCGCCCGTGCTCGCATATGCTGCTGCCCCCGCACTCCTTGCATCGTGATTGGACCCGCCCGTGCTCGCATATGCTGCTGCCCCCGCACTCCTTGCATCGTGATCGCTGCCGCCCGTGCTCGCATATGCTGCTGCCCCCGCACTCCTTGCATACCGATTGGACACACTTGTGCTGGGATGCAGCTTTAGTTTTTCGTCTCTTTTCTAGTCTCTGATGGTCTTCTGTCTCGTCCTTCTCTTCTTCTCTCGCGTCTGAGCTCAGCTTCCTACTCCTCTTCCCCAACCTCTCACTGCTCCCCGTTGCCGCTGACATAGCTTTTCTCGCAGCACTCATCCCCCTCATACGATCACTGCTGAAGAGGGGATGAGGGCACTCAACCTTGATTGATGGTGCTGCGTGATGTCCACAAACTATTGCAGGTAAATGGGAAGCGACAATGCTGAGAGGAGATGAAGGAAGTGAGAACGCGATGAGACAAGAAGGTTGTGATGAGATGAAACGTTGACCGGAAGAGAGTCGAAGAGGATCGGAGGGAGCGACGGAAACAGTGAGATGTAGAGAGTAGATAAACAGCAATATAAGGAAAGATAGCAGAAGTATGCATGATAGAAACGGTCAAATCCATCGATCGAGTCGAGTAGAAGCAATCTGGGCTGGGTTAGCAAGTTAGCACTCGCTAGTATACTTGCAGGATCTAGACCAACTGAATCGGTTTCGCTCGATACAGCTTGAAGCTGTGAACAAAAGCAGCGAATATGTGAGAGGATCGTATGAATACCATCACTACGGCCAGGGAATCTCTGACCACGGTGATGAATCGTCTTTTCTTCATAGCATGCCTGATTGATGCGCAGGGTGGGGCTGCGCCTACAGGTCCTGCCAGACTATCTTCTCATGGTACGCTCTGAAGGGGTTCCGAGCTAGAGACGAGAAACGGGTCCCGTCCATACGAGAGATGCAAGAGGTGCTGGTTAAGATGGGCGACAAACCTTGCAAGTTTCTCGGAAGTTCAGACTGGATAGGATCAGTCGAGATTTCCATCCTCCTCGACTACTTCTACTCCGCTCCCTGCAGAATCATCCACAGGAGGAATGACGAGCCGTGGGACCCCAGCATTACGAGATCTATCATGTCGCACTTCGCCGCAGTAGGGAGCCCAATCATGCTCGGTGGTCAGGGAGGAGGAGCAAGGACAGTGTTGGGTATCTGTATCTCAGAAGCGGAGGATGCGCAAGTTCCGAGGTGTCTGCTCCTTGATCCGCACTACTCAGGAGAGGACGAGATAGCAAGCCTGTCAAGGCATTCGTCGAGGGTTTGTGCATGGAGCACCTTCGATTCTATTTGTCGGCAGTACGGAAGTTTTACCAACTTGTGTCTCCCTCTCTTGCCCGTTGGAGTGCCAGGAGTTTTGGACGATGCCCCTGGGCATGATGACAATTCTGAGTGGGAGATGGAGGTTGTGGATGTAGGATGATATCAAAAAGCTCTTTATTCGCCACCACAAGGCGAGGGCTGCCTTCTAATGTCGGTTCAGGTCGATGGCCTTGGACAACACTTGATGCATCCGACTTGTCGTTGCCATCTTTGCATGCCAACTGGTCCATGCATCCTTGATAAGGGTCAACGCGTGCCGCCTTCTCACTCTCTCAATATTCCGCCTATATCGCTTCTTCGAAAGTGCGATCTTTTGAAGAAATCTTGTGACCGCAACAATTTTGTCATGCTTGACCTTCGATTCTGCTTTTGCCTGAAGCATCTTCGACCGTCTGGACACTTTACATCCAGCGATGAAGAGTCTGAACATCTTCCTTACCGTCACCATGTTCGACCTATGCCAGATCCTTAGCATACTTATGCGTCTGTTTCTCTGGAGAGCTGAAAACTCATCCCATCGTCGGTAAACATGATGTTTGAATCGAGAGCGATGCCTGCGGGTCATCAACATGATCTTGCATGCGTTGGATTCATTCTCGTCGAACAGTCCTTGCCACGTCGCTAAGCAAAGCTGCAATGCGATGTGTCTGCGTGAGATGAGATGCCGCAAAAATTTTTTCGCTTGGACGACGAAAGCCTGCCAACATTGAAACATTGCTGCCGTGAGCTTCAATACGGTTCTTGAGTAAAGCTTCTCCAGACGGGTTTCCATTTGGCGAGAAGCAATCACTATGATATGCCAACCTAGTAAATAAGACTTGCAACATGTAGAGGAATACTTTTTCGTTGCATGCAGCAACTTTCTTCGTTCTTCACAACTTAACTTCGCATAGCTGAGCATCTGCATGAAGAATTCATCCAGCAACTTTCTTCCTCCTCGATCCTTGATTTGCTTGATTGAATAGCTCAAAACCAATGTGTGCTTCATAGCGGAATATGCTTGTTCCAACAATATCCTGATATTACGATTCAACAAAGTATTAGCCCTGCCATTGATGACTTTTTGTTGAGTTGCAAAATCTGCCCATAGCCCTAAGAATGAATACTTCCTTTGCTCGCACCGCCTTGACTGCACCAAATCTAAAACTATTCCATAATCTGTACGCAATCGCGCAATCCCCGACATTTGAGCAAAACACTTCCGTGAAAGTGATTTCTTGTGGAGATCTTGAAGATACGCTTGTCCTTGCTGGTAAAGTATGAGTTTTTTGATTTTTGAGCTGAGGGCGTGAAATGACTTGCTCATACAGTCCAAGTCCGATCGTCTTTTCATTTCAGTGGCCTCAACCTTTTGTTGCAAGCTACACTCCTTACGAGCATGCCACATATTGAAAAAAGTACATTTCACTCTAGAATCGACACGATGAAGAATGGAACTCAAGTGATATTTCTTGAAATGTAAATGTTTCACAGCAGAATAAAATTCTTCGTAAGTACGTTCAAGCTGGGCGAGTAATCTCCTTCTTGCAAATTGAAGAAATTTCCTAGTATTTCTGTGCTTCGTTCTCCAACTAGAAAAGTACATTGTAGCAAGGCGCAATTCAACAGTGTGCTTCGTGAAATTATTCAAACGATTTTTCAAAGTGGTTTTCAAGTATGTTTTTTGACTCCAAGCAAGAAACACAGTAGAGTATGATTTCGAATCATCCCGCTCTACCATAAGGTTGTATTTCCTGTTCCGCACAAGATTCAATCTGCAAATTTCCATCCAAGAAGACCAACAAAATCTGAAGAGTTTCTGAAATCTATCCTGCGATTTGAAAAGTATGATGTGTTCACTTTTGCGTGAGAAACGTCTCCATAAATTGAAATTCGCAAAGGTTCCTTGCAGCAGTCTATACGATACCTTGTGATTCAACCATTGCAGTCTTTTGGCAAGAAGGCGATATTTCGCAATGTAGCTTGACCAAGACATCATCATCCTCATTGACAACCGTCGATGATAAAGCCGTTCCTTGATTTGTTGCATGTTTCTTATTCGTCCTCTCGCACACATCTTCTCGTACCAGAATTCCAAGTGTCTCTCTAATTGTTTGTAACAGCGCCTCGCATCCATCCTGCTGATGCCCTCTTCGGTTCGACCGCGCTTACTTATCTCGTGATCTGCACATTCCCACCAAGCTGCAGCACATGTCAAAGCAACGAAGGAAACAGAGTGTCATGACTCACCTTGAAAGCAGGAAATTGCACTACGCCGCTGGATCTTGTAGAGGAAATCGATTACACGATTTCGGACACGGATTCGAACACGCCAACTTGCAAAGTAGACGAACACCTGCCGAAGATTGGTCTCAGATCACACCAATGTGAAATGTCAGGACTTGTTACCAGCGTTGAAGTAATTCGATTGGACATTTTTTCTGCTTTTCTCCAAGAAATCCAATAGTACACTGACAAGTGATACCAAGATTGAAAATGTTCTTTCAAAAGAGTTCCGAACATCGATTTTCTGAGGATTCCCATGAATTGTTGAAGCTGTGAAGCCTTGTTCCAACTCTGCTGCCATACATCAAAAACTTGCTTTCTTCTTCTAAAATCATGAAAAGCTTGTTTCTGGTTGGCTTTAAATACTGCAATGCACTTTTGTTTGTACAAAATCCAGGCATCTAAGAACAAGGTCTTCGAATCATGCACTCGCATTCGTTGTAACTTCATATAGCAACTTCTGAAGTGTCTCAAAATGCCCAGATATTGAAATATTTTCCTCCAGACGTGTGAAAGGAATTGAAAGTTTTGACGACTATATTTCTTTGCCAGGTTCATTTGAAGTAGCTTGGATCTTTCAAAAAGCAGAATCCAAGATGTCAGGAGCTTTTCGATACAAGTTCGTCGGCCTCTACATACTATCATAACATATTTTCTATGGCATTGTCTGGAAAATATCCAGCATTCAAACCATTCCGAAAACGCTAATTTGGTATTTAGAGCATTCCATCGACCAGCTGTTAATCGTGCAATCTGTTCCAGCCTTTGATTGTATCGAAGTAAACTGATCCATTTGGCATAAGCATGATGACACGTTGTCGAATTTGCTCTTGCTAGATTAGAACTCAGAAGCTCAAGATGCTTTCGCGACCTTATCACCTGTACGATTGAAAAGAACACTGATCTCAATATCTTGATCTGCAAACGAGCATTGAAACTTTTAATTCCTTTCAATCTTTCGATATTTTGCATCGTGATTTCCACCCATTCGCAAAAGGTACTTGTGATGCTTCTTGACTGTTTGAACCGTTCAATTGATTCAAATTTTCGCTTTTGATTAAGCCTTTGCTTCCAGATTAGGACAGATGTTTGGACAGATTTGAACGCTGCCAGTTGATTGATAATTCGCTGCTTCTGAACCAAGGACTTATTCAAAATGATCAGCCGTTTCCAGAAAACGAATGCTTCTTCAGTCAGTTTGATCTCAATCCTTCCAACGAGTCTTCCAATATCTCTATCAAGTACATTCTTCTTGATCACAAGCTGGTTCCAGGAGGACCAGAACTTCCGCAAAGATATCGTGTTCCTCCTTGAATACAGCAACTCAAAACAATGTTGAGATAAAGTCCTTTTCATTCGAAGGTTTGCTTCGTAGAGGAGGGTTGCTCCAACTTGTGAGAGGCTGGGTAGACGGTTCCCTTCTTCCTTCGGTGATATCTTCTGAATTGGTTTTGACTTGCCTTGAGCTACAGCAAATTCTGGTTCAATTGGCTTGTCATGAAATATTGGTGACTGCTGCATTGAACGCAGTTTTGATAACGATATGAAGTAATCGTCGTCATCGTCATCGTCATCGTCATCGTCATTAAGCAAGAATTTCAATCCTCGCTGAATAGAAGGATTGCGAATTTCCTTTCTCGGGTGAGCTCGAAACGTCCCTCGTTCTGGACTTCCATTTTCTGACTGCAGGACATTTTCGGTCTCATGCTTTGTCGTGGAGTTTGTGTACTGAGTCAGAGGAGCATGTTCTCCAGTAAGCTCTTCCAAGCTGAACGCTGTCATTGAATTAGGATTCTCGGTCGAAGGTTCCAAATCCCAAAGACTATCGTTCCCCAAAAGAATTTTGCCACTTGACATCCAAATATTTTCAGTGAATTCAGTAATAGCTTACAGCTGACTTTGTCGATTTCAGATCATTTGTGGTGGGATGTCGAGTACAACGAAAATCAAGAAAAAAGGAAGGAATAGGAATAACCAGAATCAAAGTTGGAAGGAACTAGCAGGATCAGGGCAGCATGATTGAAAGCAAGAAAGTAGAGAACATCAGGTTGTCAGATGACAAGGAAGAGGAAAGTTAAAGAGGAAGGGCGAAGAGAGGACGAACCCTAAGGAAAGGGTTTGGCGAAGCACGGCCGAGGGGTAAGGGATACATGGAGAGTGGGTGGGGTGATCGAGACGAGGCAGGGTAGGGTATGTGGCTTGCAATCTGATCCTACCAGTACACTGGGTATGTAAATGAGGGGTGAGGGCAAGGCATCAATAAAGAAAGTCAACGGGAGGGTAGTCTTATTGAAAATGAGGATACCAGGGTAGGGTGGTGAAAAGGGGGTGGGTGCTATTTCAGGATCTTCCTCGCCTCGGCTCTCGTCTTGTAGCACGCCGTTTTGCCATCATCACCCCCACCCCCTCCAAGAAGTCTGACCTCCCTGAGACCACCCCCGGTCTGACCTACAAACCGTTTCAACTTCGCCGTGGCATACCGCTGCGTTGCCATACTAGCCGGGGCCGGGCGGGGGCTCGGCCCCACGGTGGCACGGTTGACTCCCTGTCACTGAGACTCCCGCCAACCTGAGGGCCTTTCTTCCGAGTTCCCCGGGCCCACTGAGTCATCACCAGCACTGATAGACTCTTGCGGCAGGATGATGCGTTGCGCTTTCTGTGGTGGCTGGCGGCGGATCGCTCGGCGAACTAACCGTTGAAGGAAACGGCAGCGCTGGATAGTGGCCTCTCGGCCTCACCAGACGTCTCAGGTGATCCGACCTCAGTGCCGCAGTGCAGTGCAAACGCATGGTTTGGTTCTCGCTGGCTTTTCTCTTCTCGCCGCCGGTTTGGCCTGTGCGACAGTGTCAGGGACAAGCCTCCGAAGCCCATGCGGCATAATGGTTGTCAAGTTCGGAGTCAGTGCTTCCGCAGTTCCGAACGGTTCAGTGAACTTGGAAAGCCCGGCGGGCCCGGCCCCGGGTCCGGCTGCAGCCCCGGGAGCCCGGGGGGCCCGGGCCCGCGAGCGACCATCCGACTCGTGATGATCGGACACCGTTGAAGGTGATAGAGAAAAATCGTCTGGCATTGCCGGGCGGCGCCCCGGCGGTGACCGGTACGGCCCGGTTTGCCACCGTGGCACGCCAACTTGATCAGAGTCATCAGTTCATGTAGTTCAAGTTTATTGCAAGTTACTGGGTAAGGATGGTTGATCTAAGGCCGTGTACTAGTACCTACCGTTAGGATAGCACAGCCGCTGGGACTGTGCCATGATCTTCGGACTCAGCCCTGACACTTGAATGATTTCCGTCACTGGAGTCGGAGCCGCCTCCCGCCGCCGGGCCCTCCGGCGAGCCTGTCAGCCGACTCTGATCTGTTGAACTTCGGAAACGCATATCTGCCAGGCTGACAACATCAGCATTTGACACTCCCCGAATCAGGAATGCGACGCTGAGACCCGCATGGTCGTCATCAGTAAGTTGATAATGTGGCGTTGAATGTTCATTCTGATCACAGTGACTCATTCAATTGCTTCTTGCATAGACAACTGGCAAAGTCTCAGAGCATAATGATGCGCCACCGGGTGCGGCGGGAATCATGGTATGATGAAGTATGCCTCGCAGGCGTAATAAAACAGATGGTAATCATTCAAATCCTAAAATGTCCGATAATCATGACGATCGAGATGGTAATAATGCCGCTCAAAACTCAGGCTGAAGGAAATGTTGAAGAATATTTGCGCGTTTTGACGGTCAAATGCGGACTAAGGGAACTTGTCAAACAGGATTTCATGAATATCATTCCTGTTATAGATAGATGGTTCTTGAACACACCAGCCAGGTATCAAGCAGAGGAAGTCTGCGTGTGAGCCATTTTCTTATCCGGTCTCGCATGAATGCAACGACAAAGATCAACTGACAAAAAATTCCCAATATCGTCTATATGTTTTTCACAGAAACAAACCTGGTATGTTATCATACCAGCTTCGGAGAGTAACACTCAAACGATTGTGTATAAAACATGGCGAGTAGGTGTTATCAGGACTACACGCATTTTCTTTGACGCTCCTGTGTAGTGTGGAGCGCTGCAGAACTCTCGGGCAATTGAAGGCGACGATGCCACCGAGATTGAGTGAAGTTTCCTGGCAATAGAAGTGAGCACAGGATTCGCAGTGATGCCTGCCGTAGTGGTGTGGATAATGTTTACACAGTAGAAGAAGGCTGAAGAAGGAGTTGGTTGCTGACGATCATCGAACTGATTACCAGTGAAATTGGAACCTACATTGAAAAGGAAACATGATTGCCTGCTTCCGCGGAAGCAGTATCTTCTTCTTCTTGTCATCAATATAACCTACCCACCAAATCCATAAAGTGTCCTTCCTCGCCTCTTCAACGCGTACACCACGTCCATCGCTGTGACAGTATCTCTTCTTGCATGCTTTGCGTAGATCATCGCATCCCGGATCATAATCTCCAGGAATTCCCTAAGCACAGTCCTAATCTCCTGATAGATCAAGCTGGAGATTCGCTTCACGCCTCCTCTCCTGGCGAGCCTTCTGATGGCAGGCTTTGTGATTCCTTGCATGTTGTCGCGCAGAACCTTGCTGTGTCGCTTGGCTATTCCCTTGCCCAGTCCCTTACAGCCTCTTCCGCTCCCCGTCATGTGTTGATGAACGTGTATGATGAGGAACCTCTTTGTACCTGGCTTTGTAGCACCCGCGCACCGTACCCCACCCCTCGGGGGTGTAATGCAGGAAAATAAATCATTGAATCATTCAAGTAGTACATTGGTCGATTCTTGTGTCAATAGTGTCCAAATTGTCTCTTTTGTTTCTTTTGAACCACTTCCCTCTGCGCGGCCCGAGGTAGGAAGTAAAGGGGTGGGGTTACAACTACCCCCACCCCTATCATCAAGTGTTACACAGAGAATCACCTGGAAAATAGGGGTAGGACAGGCGCATGGTAGGTAACCTCAACCCACAAGTCCTGATAGCGAATGGCAGTAGGGGAAGGCCCCTCGAATGGGAAATCGCTGAGCAAGGAGCATCGAGAGGTACAGGCGCGGAGAAGTTCATGTGCAGGAGATCTCTTGGCCTGATATTCGAAGGCTCACCGAGAGGGGAGGCGTGGAGAGTAACCCCAGCTCGATTTGCAATCATAAGATTTCTTTTTAGAAGTTTCGTTAGCAGTATGATCCGCCACGGGGTGACATTCATGGAGCATGAAAGGAAAAATTCAATGAAAGCAATGGACGTGCTGTGTGCAAAGGGTAGAGATATGAAGATGTTGATTTGATAACGCCAACACACTATCGATTCGTGGCACACACAGCAAGGAGAAGGACAGACCACCTGAGCAATTGTTTACGATCCTTTTATAGTCGAGGGTGAGGAACGACCAGGGGTGGTGAGGCTCCTTACGCACGAGTGAGCATCCCTCGTGCGTCCGCTTAGATCTGCTGCCTGCTCCTCATCGAGGTTCAGCCACAGTACAGGAGATACCACCCTTACTTTGGAAACTCTGTCGCCCAACAGGGGTTGTACCCCAGAGGTGTGTCAGTAGCCGTTAGAGCCCTTGCTGTCCTCGTGGCTGTAAGAGAAGACCATAGATTCTCTTGCTGCCCACTCCTGCTCCATAATATTCTTCCTGCATGAAGCTTCAGCGAAGGCAGAGCTCTGGTACGCTCCAGCTGCTGCCTCCTTGGGCTTGGCACGATCATCGTCAAACCGATTGTCCGTCATCAAGTCCGGCTTCGTTTTGTTAGCAGTCACTGAGTCACAGTGGTGCTGCAGTAATGAACTCGGAAGGGAACAGCAAGAATATAAAGGTTTCATCACTTTGCGTCTGTAAAAATTCAACTCGATAGGTAGTGTCTCAACTGGCTTTGAAAGCGACAGACGTCGAACGTCTTTATCTGACAGCTTTCTGCTTCCAAGCCATTCCTTGCCGATTATCACCCAGCGATTCCAGCGGACTCCCCGGATGGTATCTTGAAGGCTGTCAAATGAACGGAGGCTCAGCAACGCCCAGTGTGATGATTCTCTGCTGATTCTCTGTAATACTGCAGCCTCTGAGGGGGGCCCGAAGTTTGGACAACCCTCCATGTCTCTAAGCAGATGCTAACCCCTCATCCCCTCCCTGGCACCCACAACCCCACCCTGTCATCCTCAAGGTCACCCCTTATCGTCTGCGCAAATGGTGCAACCACCCAGGAGAGAGAAAGGACGGGTCCTGCCCTGATCTTGCGACCTTCGGAGTACCCCACCTATCACAAGTGATGACTTCTGACACACACCCCGGTACTTTGATCGACTACCTCATCCACCCAACCAGCCGTACGGTCTCGGGGTCCATGCTGTGTAAATACGCCGATCCTGTGGGAGGTGATGTAGGTCGGGAAAATCACCTAAAGAGACACTTAAAAGAATTGCAGACTATAGACACCGTAAAACAACAAGACCGTTTAGCAGTGAGTTCGTACGGTGCCAGGGTGCTCATCTCGCTTCCGACAATCACCACCCCTGTCTTCTCCTGGGCTGATTCTCGAGCTTGTTTCAAGTACCCCTCCTGATCCGATATGCTGGCACCCACCGCACGCACTTCAATAGACCCCTCTATGACCCCTAGGTTGGCAGTTACACTTGAGCCACGATGGATTTATGACCCCCCAACTGTTTACCACCCACGTTGACCCACCCCTAAGATTCGCTCAACTTTTGTCAACTTGGCCTGGATGTCCTCCCTTTCTTCTTTCCTACAAACGCTCCATAGTTTCTAGCAGCAGCCTGACCCTTGCCTTCTGTTCTCAGTCACAACGAGGTAGGCAGGTAAGAAATATATGGTAGGTCGTCCCGAGCAGAAATGGATTGGGGGGTGGGATGGAAAGATGAAAGGGGGTATGCCTGCAAATGAACAAATCTGGTAGGAGGAAGCAAAGAGGGGGTAGGGTAGGTAGCAGCGAGGGAGGGCCATGAGGCAATGAGAAATGGGAAAATAAGGGGTAGACGATGGGCAGAGGAAGGCAAGTGAGGAACAAGAAGCCATACTAGTAACCCTAACTGAATTCTTGGGCGAGCCATAAGGAAAACCAAACAGGTGGACCTATACCAAGAGCAGACACGCAAGAGAAAAATAGACTATAGAAACGAGGGTAGGGTATTGAGAGGTTCCTTAAAAGTCCCGTGACTGGTTTTACCGTTACGCGTAGTCCCTGCCTCGCCACCGCCATGAGCAGCACCACCCCCGCCCCGCAGGTGTCAACCCGCTCTGTGCGCTAGTGTTCTGCTCTTGCCGTGGTCTCTTATGCTTCATTTGCTCCTGCTTCTTATGCTGTGATGTGCTTGCCTGTGATCCCATCTTGTAAATCGTCTGGTCTGCTCTTGTGCTACGCCTCTGCCTCTGCTCCTCCTCGGCGGGGGATCCCTCGAGGAGAAGAGAAAGGATAGGTTTTTTTGCAGGGGAGGGGGCTGCGCAAGCGAGTGTAGAGGGGATGGTTGTTTCTATTAGTGCTGCACGCTGATAGGCAGCCAGAGATGTTGACAAACATGTGGTGATGGGGATAATGTAGAAGGGGCATTGGCATCTGTTTTCCGTAGACAGAGGATACTGGATCTAGCGGCTTGATTGCAATGTGCTTGTAGCTGACACCGAGACAGGTTCCCTACCCTTACCCTCCCATGATGTCCGGACTCCAGTACGCTCCCGGAACCGTGATCTCCGGAGTGCCAGGAGCTGCTCCCGTGAGCTCCTACCCCGTCATGTCCTACGGCTACCCCGTCACCAGCGGATCTGCCGCTCCTGTTTCCTACGGCGTGCCCCAAGCAGTTGGCAGCCTCCAGCCTGTCGTCTACTCGCAGACCATCCCAGTGCCTGTCCAGACCACCCAGACCGTCATGGAGAACCAGGTGAGCTAGCGGAATGCGCATCGGTGTGAGAGTGAGAGAGGGAGCAAGAGCTTTCGTGTCAGCATGGGATAGAAGGTGCGCGACTGACTCATGCGATCACAGACTATTATGGAGAGCAGAGAGGTTACCGTGAAGGTTCCCAAGGTCATCATGGAGGAGGTCGAGATCACCTACCAGGTCCCAGCGATGGAGGAGCGCGTCCACACCGTGCAGCGACCCAAGACTGTCATGTGAGTATCTCATTTCTTGCTTGCACTTGCCCTTGCTTGGGCTTATCTCTTCAACTGGGAGGGTGAGGCTTGCGATATTTGACGCTGTTTCCTGTCAACAGGGAGGACAGGGAGATCACTGTCCAGGAGCCTCGCACCGTGATGGAGCCTAAGACCGTCCAGGTTCCCACCTACCAGACCGTGCAGCAGGAGGTCACCATGTCAAAAGTGCTCGAGTACAGCCGCCCCAAGCTTGTCCAGCAGCACTACATCCAGCAGTCCGTTGCTCCCTGGAGTACCGTCACCATGACTGCACCAAGCTACACTGGAGCCAACGTCTACAGCACCACCCAGCTGGCTCAGCCACAGCAGCAGCAGCAGCAGCAGCAGGGACAGCAATTTTATCAGCCATCGGATGATGCCATCTCCGCATAAGATGCCGGACCTTACACACGTAGTGTAGATGTTTGGGTGTTTTTTAATCGATGTTGTGTAACGATCAGTAAATCCAATCAAGCTTTGCTTCGATTTTTGATCGTTCAGGTCGGTCTTGGCACATTTTGGGTTCAACTGTAGCAAGCTGATTGCAGTTGATAATGTTCATGCTGTTTCAGTATCTTTTTGGGGTTTGTGGTCAGATTTGGTCTTGTGTGGGTGTTGGTGATTTCTTGAGCATGGTGAATGGCAAGCAGAGCGTTGTTGGCTTTCGGAATCCGAGCAACTTGGGCTTGCATAGACGGCAGTGCATGGCCCGCGGCGTAGGCCAGTGTAATATAACCATCGATCAGGTTCGGAGGCGGGCTTGCATCGTAAGGAGCGTCGAGAACCATAGCCTTAATGGACCGGTTCATTGCAAGGGCAAATTTTGGGTAGGGGTACCAGTACTCCCGTGAGTGATGTTACCGTTACGCGTAGTCCCTGCCTCGCCACCGCCATGAGCAGCACCACCCCCGCCCCGCAGGTGTCAACCCGCTCTGTGCGCTAGTGTTCTGCTCTTGCCGTGGTCTCTTATGCTTCATTTGCTCCTGCTTCTTATGCTGTGATGTGCTTGCCTGTGATCCCATCTTGTAAATCGTCTGGTCTGCTCTTGTTTGCTACGCCTCTGCCTCTGCTCCTCCTCGGCGGGGGATCCCTCGAGGAGAAGAGAAAGGATAGGTTTTTTTGCAGGGGAGGGGGCTGCGCAAGCGAGTGTAGAGGGGATGGTTGTTTCTATTAGTGCTGCACGCTGATAGGCAGCCAGAGATGTTGACAAACATGTGGTGATGGGGATAATGTAGAAGGGGCATTGGCATCTGTTTTCCGTAGACAGAGGATACTGGATCTAGCGGCTTGATTGCAATGTGCTTGTAGCTGACACTGAGACAGGTTCCCTACCCTTATCCTCCCATGATGTCCGGACTCCAGTACGCTCCCGGAACCGTGATCTCCGGAGTGCCAGGAGCTGCTCCCGTGAGCTCCTACCCCGTCATGTCCTACGGCTACCCCGTCACCAGCGGATCTGCCGCTCCTGTTTCCTACGGCGTGCCCCAAGCAGTTGGCAGCCTCCAGCCTGTCGTCTACTCGCAGACCATCCCAGTGCCTGTCCAGACCACCCAGACCGTCATGGAGAACCAGGTGAGCTAGCGGAATGCGCATCGGTGTGAGAGTGAGAGAGGGAGCAAGTGCTTTCGTGTCAGCATGGGATAGAAGGTGCGCGACTGACTCATGCGATCACAGACTATTATGGAGAGCAGAGAGGTTACCGTGAAGGTTCCCAAGGTCATCATGGAGGAGGTCGAGATCACCTACCAGGTCCCAGCGATGGAGGAGCGCGTCCACACCGTGCAGCGACCCAAGACTGTCATGTGAGTATCTCATTTCTTGCTTGCACTTGCCCTTGCTTGGGCTTATCTCTTCAACTGGGAGGGTGAGGCTTGCGATATTTGACGCTGTTTCCTGTCAACAGGGAGGACAGGGAGATCACTGTCCAGGAGCCTCGCACCGTGATGGAGCCTAAGACCGTCCAGGTTCCCACCTACCAGACCGTGCAGCAGGAGGTCACCATGTCAAAAGTGCTCGAGTACAGCCGCCCCAAGCTTGTCCAGCAGCACTACATCCAGCAGTCCGTTGCTCCCTGGAGTACCGTCACCATGACTGCACCAAGCTACACTGGAGCCAACGTCTACAGCACCACCCAGCTGGCTCAGCCACAGCAGCAGCAGCAGCAGCAGCAGGGACAGCAATTTTATCAGCCATCGGATGATGCCATCTCCGCATAAGATGCCGGACCTTACACACGTAGTGTAGATGTTTGGGTGTTTTTTAATCGATGTTGTGTAACGATCAGTAAATCCAATCAAGCTTTGCTTCGATTTTTGATCGTTCAGGTCGGTCTTGGCACATTTTGGGTTCAACTGTAGCAAGCTGATTGCAGTTGATAATGTTCATGCTGTTTCAGTATCTTTTTGGGGTTTGTGGTCAGATTTGGTCTTGTGTGGGTGTTGGTGATTTCTTGAGCATGGTGAATGGCAAGCAGAGCGTTGTTGGCTTTCGGAATCCGAGCAACTTGGGCTTGCATAGACGGCAGTGCATGGCCCGCGGCGTAGGCCAGTGTAATATAACCATCGATCAGGTTCGGAGGCGGGCTTGCATCGTAAGGAGCGTCGAGAACCATAGCCTTAATGGACCGGTTCATTGCAAGGGCAAATTTTGGGTAGGGGTACCAGTACTCCCGTGAGTGATGTTACCGTTACACGTAGTCCCTGCCTCGCCACCGCCATGAGCAGCACCACCCCCGCCCCGCAGGTGTCAACCCGCTCTGTGCGCTAGTGTTCTGCTCTTGCCGTGGTCTCTTATGCTTCATTTGCTCCTGCTTCTTATGCTGTGATGTGCTTGCCTGTGATCCCATCTTGTAAATCGTCTGGTCTGCTCTTGTTTGCTACGCCTCTGCCTCTGCTCCTCCTCGGCGGGGGATCCCTCGAGGAGAAGAGAAAGGATAGGTTTTTTTGCAGGGGAGGGGGCTGCGCAAGCGAGTGTAGAGGGGATGGTTGTTTCTATTAGTGCTGCACGCTGATAGGCAGCCAGAGATGTTGACAAACATGTGGTGATGGGGATAATGTAGAAGGGGCATTGGCATCTGTTTTCCGTAGACAGAGGATACTGGATCTAGCGGCTTGATTGCAATGTGCTTGTAGCTGACACCGAGACAGGTTCCCTACCCTTACCCTCCCATGATGTCCGGACTCCAGTACGCTCCCGGAACCGTGATCTCCGGAGTGCCAGGAGCTGCTCCCGTGAGCTCCTACCCCGTCATGTCCTACGGCTACCCCGTCACCAGCGGATCTGCCGCTCCTGTTTCCTACGGCGTGCCCCAAGCAGTTGGCAGCCTCCAGCCTGTCGTCTACTCGCAGACCATCCCAGTGCCTGTCCAGACCACCCAGACCGTCATGGAGAACCAGGTGAGCTAGCGGAATGCGCATCGGTGTGAGAGTGAGAGAGGGAGCAAGAGCTTTCGTGTCAGCATGGGATAGAAGGTGCGCGACTGACTCATGCGATCACAGACTATTATGGAGAGCAGAGAGGTTACCGTGAAGGTTCCCAAGGTCATCATGGAGGAGGTCGAGATCACCTACCAGGTCCCAGCGATGGAGGAGCGCGTCCACACCGTGCAGCGACCCAAGACTGTCATGTGAGTATCTCATTTCTTGCTTGCACTTGCCCTTGCTTGGGCTTATCTCTTCAGCTGGGAGGGTGAGGCTTGCGATATTTGACGCTGTTTCCTGTCAACAGGGAGGACAGGGAGATCACTGTCCAGGAGCCTCGCACCGTGATGGAGCCTAAGACCGTCCAGGTTCCCACCTACCAGACCGTGCAGCAGGAGGTCACCATGTCAAAAGTGCTCGAGTACAGCCGCCCCAAGCTTGTCCAGCAGCACTACATCCAGCAGTCCGTTGCTCCCTGGAGTACCGTCACCATGACTGCACCAAGCTACACTGGAGCCAACGTCTACAGCACCACCCAGCTGGCTCAGCCACAGCAGCAGCAGCAGCAGCAGCAGGGACAGCAATTTTATCAGCCATCGGATGATGCCATCTCCGCATAAGATGCCGGACCTTACACACGTAGTGTAGATGTTTGGGGTTTTTAGTTTTTTTAGAATGCACTTGAAGTCAGCCGGTTTCTGTTCTTGCTTTTCTGTTGTTGTTTTGCAGGTCAGGGCATTACAAAGAATTGTCGCATTTCACTCCTCAAAGTATTTCTTGTATGTGTTTGTTTCTCCAATGGCGGTAAACCTTCCTTTGCACGGAGCTTTGCACAACAGCATGTCATGTTCATGCTCAGGATGGCCATCCCCTGTAGCTGCCAGCCGCAACGAGCTTATCAGTGAATTACTGTTGTGTACATACCTTGGTCTCCGGCCCGAACCCTTTTAACCGTCGCTGCAGTAGGGCCAGGAGATTGGAAAATAATGGGAAGGGGGAGAGAGGGAGAGATCAGCACGACCGAGTCTTGCAGGTTGACTTTAACTGCCCTCTTCATCTGAGTAGTCCAGATTGAACAGACCATATGGACTGGATATCAATACTGAAAAGCGAAGATGTAAACAAGAACGAATCTGTGCGAGTTGTATTCCAAGGCTTCAATTTTGCTGTAACTCGTGATCCCTCGTGCCGATTACGTGTCCAAGAACAAAATTCTCCAAATGTACAATGGGAAATCCATGAAAACAATCATCTGGTCAAAATAAGACGAACATCTTGCGTGAAGCGTGAGGATCAAAATGAAGGGCAAGTATCTTCACACGAAGAACCCCACCAAATATCGCAAGTCTCGAAGGAAGAGGGTACAGGGAGAAAAGTTGAATTTCAAGTCAGCGACACGCAAGAGACAAGGAGGAAGAAAGATAAGTCCATCAAGCAGGCATGGAGGAGTCATGTTGACAGAATTAGAAACTCGAGAGCTCGTGACCAGGGCGAAGAGAATGAAGATCTGCTCCCTCCTTCATCGTACGAGAACATTGCCACGATGGAGGTCGATGAAGTCAACCGGACTATACTTCGTGCCAAGGCTTCAATGCGGCATGAACTTGAAAATGCAAAGCAACAGCGAGAGGTTTTACAGGTTCACTGACAGCCGAGGGTGTCTACTGTTTCTCAAATGTGTTTCAGGGTCAGATTTCGAGGATCTCATTGCAGAGACAACGACTGCAGAATGATCGTGAATATCTCGCTTCGAAACGTGATAACTTGCAGGTTAGAATCCATGATCTGGAGCTTCAGGTCAGAGAGGCTCTAGAAACGCTTGAGCCCTATGAGGAGCGAGTTGAAGTCCTCGAGAGGGATGTGAGAAACCGTCAACAAGCGTGAGTCTCGTCCCTTTTCTGCTTGCGCTCTTTCATGTTTGAACTTTGCCTTGCAGATCTGAAATTTTGCTGAGAGAATTTCAGTCGGAACGCAAGAAGATGAATGCTATAAAAGGAAAGGCTCATGAGCTCAAATCTAACATGGAGATGCTGAAAAAGCAACTTCATGCTGCAAAAGAGAAAGTGAATTCAGCGGAAAACAGGCTAGAATCGCTTTCTGAAAATAACCAAGTCAGACAGTATGAACTAGATATGATGAATGGCAGTATCGCAGTGATTGAGAGATTTCTGAAAGCAGATCTGATCGAAACCACACTTGACCAAACTTTACCTCCTTCATTTCAACATCTGTGTCAGATCATGACAGAAGGAAGGGAGAGGCTTGAGGAGTTGCAACTGCGTCGATCCAGCATAGAGGAGCAGAAGGCGGAGGACGACTCCATGAATCAAGAAGAACGTAACCACCAGTCAGACCCCTACGAAGATTTACAAGGAAACGAGCAGGACGAGCTGAGGGAATGGAGATCCCTGCCGAGTGTTTGGATCAGACGTAGACGATTTGCTATGAACGCTTCATCCCCTCGTTGGAAGAAGAGGCTGCAAAGCGAGGTTGACGCGTGGCAAGATGACTCCGGCAGAAGCCCTAAGGTGAATCGTGCGAACCAAGAGGCTCTTGCTCAATTGAAGAAGAAGCAACTCGCTCTGGAGATCAGGCAACACGCGACACCTTCTGCAAATGTTGCGATCACAACCAAATTCTTAGAAGACCACCCATGGCTTTCAGGACAGTATCGAATAAGTTGTTACGAGGAGATGAAAGATAAATGCATTCAGGTTAGCTCACGTTGCTCGTTCTTGTGAGTCTGAAATGCCTTTGTTTTGCTTTGAAGGGATGGGAACGAGAGCGAGAAGAGCGGCTAAAGAAACAAGAAGCACAGGAGAAGCCTCTGAGAGAAATATGGGAGGCCAAAGGAATTCCTTTCAACGAAGAAGCAGATGTAAGAAGGCTGCGGTCGATTCATGCCAAGTCTTCATACCCCTCCTTAGAAGAAGACTTGGATGAGTTCTGTAGGAAGATGAAGGGGAAGTGGGAGGAGCTGCAGGACCTTTTCAAGATGATGGACACCAGCGGAGATGGGCTGGTGGACTTGAACGAGTTCAAGAACGCTTGTGCGATCTTCGAGTTGCACTGGAGTGACGTCAGATGATCAGAGCGTTTAATCATATTTCTAGGTCCAGCCCTCACTTGGACTTGTCTGACCTTCTTGACCTCTTGGCTCCTCCTCGCGTGACGTCAGAGACTAGGAACTTGTTGCAGACTAAGGTGCCATTCTTGCAGCTCGAGTCCGAAGAGGCGATGAGAGAAGTGATAAGAACGATGAAACCGAAGCACTGGTCGAAAGGAGACAGGATTTACTACCTGACACAACTCGAGTCTGTCATATACGTCTTGTATTCTGGACGAGTCAAACTTGTGGAAGTTGATGACACCAACTCAAAGATGGTTGGACCTGGTGATGTGTTTGGAGAAGAAGCTGTGAGGTCTCTACTTCATTACTTGTTTTCTCATTCTCTTTACAGGTCATCCATCACAACCTTCACGACCACCTTGTTCCGAGGAGAAGCAACGCGTATGCCATGGAAGACTGTTTGACGTATCAGATCGACAATCGAGACCTGGAGAACGTCTGTGTCGATTGGTTGCCCTTTGCTCTCATTCACATCGTTGCAGTTGTTTCCCAAGTTTCCCTCCATGAAGTCGAAGCTCTTTGCCCTGTCTGACATGTACCGCAAAGAACAAGAATGGACGAAAAGGCTTCTCACCCTTCTCTTCTGAGTCACCGACTGATCCTCCGATAGGTCCCTCGCGCCCGACCCCGTCACCTCCAAGATCGAAGCCAAGGTCTACACCGCTGGGTTCAAATCCAACAGAGTGAAGATGCGCAACCAGCCCATGATGTAGGAGCGCATGCAACAAGACGACGTGAGGGAGGATTGAGTTTGACTCAGGTTGCCTGAGGTCAAGTTGCGGAAACTCGACGAAGGGACTCTCGCCAATCACCTTGAGCTGTCTTCTGGTTGAGCCCCCCCCGTCCTCCTCTGTTGACCCGGTTGAAAGCCTGCTGCAGTGATACCTACACAAGAAGCAAGTCGCTTCCTCCCGGGTAGACGTTGGGGGAAGATCTTTGAGGAAGAAGTAGAGTGCAAGACGGTGCAAGAGAAGATAAGATACATCTCAACAAATATCGACAACAAGTTTGCAAGGTCATCATCTTCTTGCTCACTTCTTGCATCTGACTTTGATCTCGGCAGAGTGATGAAGTTGAGAGAACAGGGGTTGCGGTATCTCGATGGACTGGGAAAGTAGATTTTGTCCGGTCTGAAAATGAGTCTTCACGAGTATCAATCATGACATGTCTATGATAATTTCAATACATCCATCTCAATGAATCTCAATGAATTCTCTCAGAACATCTTAGCTTGCTGTCTTGATCAGAACCATCCCTTTCCTCCTTCCAGATTGTTGCAACCCAGCTCCGTCAGCTTCTGATACGCCTGCTCCTCATGTCAGCTATTCGCCCCCTCGGCTGACAGCTCAAACCTTGGCGAAGTCGGCAAAAAACCGCTTCTCATCTTTCGCGTAGATTTCAACCCACTTGCGGAAATGGAAGTCTTCGATCTGAAGCCTCGATAAGGGCGAGGAAAACAGCAAAAGACAAGGCAGAGAGGACATGCTGCAAGGAGAGGAACGAGGGGGTCATGCGTGTCTCAACCAGCGCAAGGTCGGTGGGAAGCATCATCAGATCCTTTCCGTCCTCGTTTTCGAATTGTTTTGGTCCTTTCCAAGACTTGGGGACCCACTGCAATCCAGTCAGGCGAAGAGAACTGAGCTAACGTCCCGTCACCTTAGACTCAAGAAGTAGACCTGCGATCAAACGATCAGCGTCATCGAGCCGAGTCACTGGTTCTCTCACGGTAGTACTCGTTGGAGAAGGTGGTTGGGGCCCTTGTCCATGGACCGGTGTATCCCGACCTGTCGGTGTGACAGCGCCCGAGGGCATGAGCTCCGAAGAGCGCGACGATCTCTTGATCGTTGAAGCCCATGCGGTAGAAGATGTCCCTGTGCCGCCCTCCACTCACTCTTGCTACCGTCAGACTCACAGCGACGTACCGCACGTGTCCGATGGTCGCAGGTTTGGTTCCCTTGCGCCAGGTGAGCCAGTCACGTCAAGATTTGAGGCGCGGGCATACCTTGTCAGCGTCAGGAAGTCTTCCATCGGGTGGACACCACTGGGACCAACGGCCTGAGCTCACGAGCTGTGCACGGAGATGTCTCTTACCTCTCCACTGATTTGGTCACGACGACCAGGACGGAATGGAATCTGATGAATGCGATGTTAGAGCACAAGAAGCGAGCAGAAGTAATCACTTTAGGTCCACCCATCTCTTCGATGGCGACAATCTATTGGCAAGGTCAAAGATCGAGGTAAATATTTCAAAGACAGACGTACCGATGCGAGGATCCAGAGATCAGCATACGTCAGTCCCGGGAATTGAGCCTCCATCAGAATCTCAGAATTTTGCGATCAAGGCAGTTTGCAATCACCTTGATGGGCTCCAATCGCTTTCGAGCCTCAGCCAGCCCAGCGTTGGCTCCGAAGGCTGCATGGAGAGGAGGGTCAAGGATGACAGAGCGACTTGTGACTGTCTGCCTGCTTCTGGCGTGAAGCGCATGGTGGCCCCGTCGCTTCCGCCTGCAAAGCTTTCACTCACCACCATCACATGCTTTCTCTTGCACCAGTCTTTGTCTTGGCGTCGTAAGTCCCAGAGGCATGCCACGCCAGCCTGACACTACAAGAGGTGACGCCGAGTTGCAACGAGGCAGCAAGTCACAGGATAGGCCCGATGCTTCCGTCATCGTAGTCATCCTCGTCCAAGATAGCCTTTACTGCATCTCTGACCTGAAAGGAATATGAGCTTTTTCACGGAGCAGACTTGATAAACCTTGCTGTAATCAGGTTTCTCACTGTATGCATAGGCTGTGAATGCCGAGAAGCCTACGCCAAAGGCCGATGCTACAACCAGACTGCTCGTAGCCCTCTTGAACCCTGAATGGGCCAGACGTCAGTGCAACTCCTGGAGAAGGCAACCTTTGTTCTACCGGAAGTCCCAAAGTTTCTGGTATGACTGCAGATCTGTCTGCGGATGATGACAGCTGCAGAAAGAGGAGACATCAAAGTGTGTCATCGCCATAATTTTCGTTTTTTTCCCCTTCCTTCTCCCTTATTACTCTCATCTCCTTCTCTTGTCCTTGCTTTCTCTTCTCAATCTCCCCTCCCGTCTCATCCGCCTCCCCCTCTCTTCGTCTCTCCTCTCATATGTCTCCCCCCTCTTCGTCTCTCCTCTCTTCATCCTCTCCTCTCTTCAACCTGCTTGCTTTCCAGCGCTCCTGAGCATTTTTGTCTTTGCAGAGGAAGACAAACTTGTCCACCCTACTACCCCCACCTATCAAATCGAATCAGAACCTCCTTTTATCCACGTTTATCTCCTATAAGTACCCGGTATTTCAACAAAATTCGTGGTAATGACCCCTTCTCTGCCTGGACCCCCTAGCAATCGTGGATGCACCCCTCTAAATGATGGCGAGATGAGCCGAGCGCGATGGCAAACCCGCCGATGTCAGGAGGAGGATGGCGAGGCAGCCGCTCCTGTGTCGCCATGGCAGCTCATGAACACTGGGAGGCCTCCTAAGGAAGCTTTCGAGATCCCTCCACTGGGTGTGTGCGCATGTTGCACGACCTGTCGGCATGACTGACCCTCAGGCAGGGGAGGAGACCCTGCTGTATGAGAAGGGGACGGACATCAGCGAGAGTCAGTTCTGGAGTGTGATAGACAGCTGGATCAAATCCCCAGAGCACATTCTCAAGTCCATCTGGAAGGCTGAGGGAGTGAATATAGACGGTTGCCATGCTGGCTGAGGCATTTGGTGGTGACGAGTCGCATCTCAGATCTGCCCGAGGAAGAGCGAGAACGAGCTACTCATTTCAAGCCCCGACTGGAAGATTTGCCATTTGTATGGAGATGTCCGTGTTGCTCCTTCTCAACATGATCTCTTGAAACAGAATGAGGAATCGCACTCTGCAAGTAGTTGTGATGGACCAGACGTTGTCCAACGCTACGAGGATGCAAGGGGAGAAGGTTGCGATGCTTGGCTGCCTAGCTTGCAGCCTATTGTTAAAACACGTGTTTGGGCTCAACTGTTCCAGTAAGACATCTCCTGATGCTTGTCACAAATGTCAGGGAGCGACTGACCTGCTGTTATTCAGATCAGGAATCCTGAGAGCAAAACTGGAGGTTGAGAAAGAATGTAGCAATGCAGAAAAGTTCTCGACAGCGGAGCAGAATGCAGAAACCCTTGATTCAAGTTCTGAACCAGTGATCTTTCGAGCATGATTGCCTTGTCATACATGTGAGTGAGATATTACAGGTCAGGCACACGTTGCGGAGGTTGCACAGAAAGGACGTCATTGCTGCTCCGTTAGTGTTTCGAGCGCGTTGCGGTGTGCATGACTGAACAGCATTGTCTTCAGATATCTTGATGAATGGTGCACCATATTCAAAGATGCGAGAAAGGTTTGGTTCACTCCAGTATTGCCGGATGTGAGTGTGTAACGCTGCAACAATTCTCTTTTGACTTGATTTTACAAATAGCCCTCAAACTGGAAGAGACCGATCATGTCCTACTTGCCTTACAACTATCCAAAGTCTCTCAGGTGAACCCCCTGAATCGGATGCAGAGATTCACCGAGAATTTCTGAATGCAAAGCATGGCAGGTACAGCTTTCAGTTCCTCCCTGCCGGTGCTCCTGGGGTTGAAGCTAAGTTGAGGATGTTCGCCAACCTCTTCGATATTCGTAGTGTTGTGAGATGCATGGTTTAAGTCACTTCAGTCTCTGATGCACATCAGATCTTCATGGAGAGCACTGCTGCAAGGTTGCTGGACAAGTTGCAGAAGTGGGGCTGTTGCATCAAAAACGGAGTCACAAGTTATGAGAAGCGAGTACAGCTGGATGTTCTGGTGGATCAGCAGGAATTTCGCTTGGAGTACCAGAGAATGAAGAACCTCTACAAGCACTGGGCAAAAGACTGGCCGGAGAGAACCGATCCTCAGAAGTTTGTTTTCGAGGAAACTGGCATAGCAGCTTACCTTGTAGCCCTATGGAAGAGCAAGAAGTTTGAGTCAGCGACGAGTGACTATGAAAAGAAGATTTCCTTTGTGGATCTTGGCTGCGGCAACGGATTCTTGACTCACGTTCTGACCATGGAGGGGTTTGAAGGAAAGGGCATCGACAAGCAGCAGAGAAAGATCTGGGACTTATATGGTGAAGAGACGAGGTCAAGGCTAGTTATTGAAGACATCGACCCCGAAACTTGCTGCTATCCAGGGTGAGTGAGAGATTAGGGAAGGAGGGTATGGGTGCAGAGAAGGGAGAATCATGATGAGGATGAGGAGATTTTGTCAGTTCTGATGGAGGGGGAGAATTCAGGGTTGATTGGGTGATTGGAAATCACTCGGACGAGCTGACGCCCTGGCTTCCATCCATCGCAAGGAGATGCGGGCCGACCACGAGATACTTTGTGAGCTCTTTTACCCTCCTCCTCCTCGCTGAGCTGCTGTGCCAAGGTGATCCCCTGCTGCTTCTGGGACTTCCAGGGCAAGTTCAACCGTCGGGTTCCGCAGGAGTCCAGTGAGGCTATATGGCTCTCATGATGCGGTTTGTAAGGCATGTCCAGGGTACACGACCTACTTGAAGTTTGTGGAGAAGTGCGGCACCGAGGAAGGGTTCCAAGTCCTCTCCGATGTGAGAGCTCTAGAGACCTCCCGCCGCCTGTCAGCTGATCTCCTTTCATGGCAGACATTGAGGATCCCTTCCACCAAGAATGTGGCTCATGTTGGTTGCCGGCCGTTGGATGACGGAGGAACTCGAAAGTCTGTCGATTGACTCAGTGCTTTGAGTAAATCTCTTCGATGCCATGATAAGCCGATTCTGAATCACTCACGGTTGCCAAATAATGGCGGCCGACTCTGTAAAAGTCCGATCAGTCACCGGGTCCAGCCTGGATGATGGGCCCGCTGGCCGGTCGGAGCCGCTTGGACTGTCCGGAGGCTCCCGGAGTCCGACGGTCCTACCAGTACCGTACCGTGCCCGGATCGGACCGTCGGCCGGGCTTCAATGAACCGTGTGAAACTTGTGACTTCCGGCGGCCGTCGGAGCCCGGCCCATGATTGCACGGTTCCGGAGTCCTGATATTTTACTCAACATCCGCCTGAAAACCCTGACAATGGAGGTAAGTAGATCATCGGGGTAACGAAGAGGGAGGAAGAGGCGAGAGGACGAGCAGGAGAGGCGAAGGGATGGCGAGAGGACGATAGATACACGCCGATAACATACTGATGTGTGAGGGGAAACCTCAATGTCGAGGCAGAGGCCATAAAACTGAGTAAACACAGAAGAAATGGAGATAGGAGGGGGAGCGGTAAAGAGGAATGTATGCAGAGGGTGCTAAAAGGAGCAATAGAGGGAGGAAAAGTAAGAGGAAATGGAGGATTGCAAAGCGGAGGCGAAGAGCAAACTCATGATACTGCAATCATGCAGGCCAGCCCCGATCAAAATTTTCTCCTCGTCACTGATGCGCACATGTTGAGTCGACTTCTGTATCCGAATCCTGTCTGCATTCTTTCTGTATGTTGTCAGAGAACAAGCTCGGAACAGCAAGCGTCTCAACAAGATCGGAATGTCATGGTATTGAGTTGGCTGACAGCGACGGACAACTACGGTTCCTTCATCTGCAGCGTCAAGAGGAGTAGGCATTCTCTGAGCCTGATGCTTACAAGTAGAAAGTTTGTCCTAGGTGTTCCCGTCCATGGCATGGAAGAAGTCTTACGGCAGATGGGAGGAGAAAGTGGCAGAGATTCGGACAAGATTGCAAAACTTGGTTTGAGGGCGTTCTACTTGAGCTCTTTGCGCAAGTGCGACAAGCAAGAAAAGCGGGGCAGATCAGCTAAACAAGAGGAAAGGAAGAGAGCGGAAGAGGAGGATCAAGAGATGCTTGCGATCGAGGGGTGTGCAGCTTATATGGTCTGCAGCATAGAGTCAGTGATGAGTACCAAGGACCAAGGTGACGAGGCGGTTCCAAGACGCCAAGGAGGTTGATGAATTTGATGGTGTGCAGCAAGCGGGAGAGAGAGCACGCAAGAGGAAACTGCAGCACAGACGATTCTTTCCTGTAAGATCACAAGAGCCTTTGTGAATGCAAAGTGAGTGATATGTGATTTTAATTTTTATCCATCGCTCCTCCCTTCTGACTCGCCCGTCTCGTTGATAGTTACTGGGATGGGAAGACCTTCTGTGCAATGTTGCCATCCACCAGACCGTTCATGAGCTTCCTGGGATCAGGTGAGCATCCGATCCAGTCAGTACTCATCAACACTGCCAGTCCATTCACGCGAGCCCGCGGGCCGGCGACATTCTGATGCGGCCCCATTCAGGAACGTTTGGATTCATAGTGCGCAGCCCTCTAAGTTAACGAGTCTCCAGAAACTCTAGGCTCACTGAGTCAGCCGCTGAGCCGTACTAGCCTGGCCTCAGAAGCCCCGGGGCCTGGCCCTCCGATCAGCATCTCACTGCGGCGCCGCAGTGGCCAGCTCACTGAGTCAGGGCCAGGGCCCGGGCGCAGCGGCCGGGCCGCCTCGGCCCGGCAGCCACTGGGCAGCCTGGGCAGCCAGCCCGGCTGCCGCAGTGCAGCCCGGCAGCTGGCAGCCCGGCCGATCCGCTCGGACTCCCCATCATCCGTGGTTTCATCTCCCCCCCTGCTGCGACTGCCAGGCCAAGACGGGGAAGAATGTTGAGACAGTGATGGGGCGAGCGATATAAAGGGGAAGAGAACAACAGACTCCAATGCTCTCTGAAGCATGGGCTAGGGACCAAAAGCGGAGGAAGCAGCAATCAAACTGCTTTCTTGAGTACCAGAAGGAAGATGGCGAACGAGTTCACTTGCTGTTCAAAGCCTGCGATCTCTTGTGTGAGTTCTCACGTCAGTTTGACGAGATTGTAAATGAGTGTCTTGAGAAGGGATGTTCAAGGTCGTGCATCAGGTATCCCTCTGCTGGCTTCCTCTTCTCGGCGTTGATATGTGTCCTCGTGCTTATTTCCGCATATTCAAACTTGGCATTAGCATCGTTGGAGATACTTGTTGGGTTTCCTTTCCTCATGTCTCTTAACTATTCTAGGATAGTCCGAACTTCACAAGAGATGAGCTCCTTACTTGTGACTGGCTGTTTCTGTGTCGTGATGTCGTGCTTGGTTTGGATTTGGATGAGTTTTCAGGTCGGGTCGCTCATGCTTGGTTTGCTCGCTGTGATTCCTTGCTTCCTCCTCTTCCTCATATTCTACTGCAAACGTTTGTCTACACAGCCAAAAGTTGCGAATGAAGACGAAAATACGATTTACAGGAGCAAAATTTGCAGTTGGTGTGGATTGAGGAGACGCCGCTTTGACCATCATTGCATCTGGATTGATTGCTGTGTCTATGACAAAACTCACCGAACTTTCATTCTTATTCTGATTGCTTCAATACTTTGCTCTTCTGCTTTCGTGGTCTTTGCGTTTTACTTCTCCAGTCAGCTTTTCCAGAATTCAGATTCGACAATAGTGAATTTGGCCGGCATGCTGCATTTGAAACACCCGTTCGTTTTTGCTACCATGCTGATCAATTTTGTATTCGGAGGCGTTGTCTTTATAATCCTGTCGATGCAAATATTCTGTATAGCTCAGAATCTCACTGTCAACGAGTTGTTCAATCACAATCGTTACTTCATTATTGAGCATCGAGACAAGCCTGAAGATCGAGGGTATACTGAATGTGCACTTGGTGAAAATGTCTGATCTGTTTTCAGGGTAAGGCGGAATGTATTTGGATTCATCGAAGGTTCTGTTCATGTATTCGGAGCAGTTTTGCCGAGTGACAAGGTTGAAGCTATGTAACATGATTCAATGAGTATTTGTAAATGTGCACATTTTACTCCACAAAGAGAATAATGGTAACTTAAATCTTGATGCCATCCGCAGGCTCAAACTTGGAGCCCAACTCAGAGAGCTTCTTGTGGGCATTAGCGTAGGACTTGAAGAATTCGTCCTGGCTGTCCCTGAACTTCTCAGCGAAGGGACGGAAGCCCTCGTCGTCGAAGAGGGTCTTGTCGGTGGACAGCTTCAAGAGCTCAGGATCAGCTGACTTGTTGGGGATGGTGGTAAAGTACGAGTTGTCGAACTTGAGCCACTTCTCAGTCCAGCTCGATCCACCAGTTCTACCGATTCCAGCCTTGCCATCAGCACGGGCAACCTGGCTGCCATCAGTGAATTTAGTCTTCTCTGCTCCGAGTCCAGAGCGATCCTTGAAGGCACGGCCAAGGGTGTGGGCGCCAGAGAGAGCGACGATCTCCTCATCGTTCAATCCCATACGGTAGAAGACCTTGCGCAAGTGACCGTTGGGGGTAGTGTCCTCCGTGGGCTTGGTTCCGGAAGTACCTCCATACTTGCCGTTGGGTCCAGCCTCAGCATCGGGGAGGTTGCCCTCGGGGGAGCAATCCTGGGGGCCGGCAGCATCGACACGACCGTACTTCATGTCGATCTTGGGACCTCCAGCAAGCTCAATGGCGCATGCAGATGCCATCTGAAAGAGATCGGCATAGCTCACAGCTGGGAACTGCTTCTTGACGGGCTCAAGCATCTTGACAGCTCCGGCCAAGCCAGCGTTGGCTCCATGCTTGATCTCAGGCTCGAACCTGATGGATCCAATGGCGCCTCCTGCCTTGGGCCAATCCGCGTTGATGCTGGCATCAAAAGTACCAGAATCGTGCCAAGCGAGACGAACCATGATGGGATTGGCGTTGGTCTTATCGATGAGGTCCTCGATCATCTTCTTGGCTCCCTTGAGCTGCTCAGTCATCTCCTCCTTGGAAACGGAAGTTGCCATCCTCAAGGATACGGATCTCCTGAGGGAAGGGACTCTTGGCCTCTGCTGAGAGGTGCTGATAGCAGAGTGAGCCACATTCTTGCAAGAGGTGGTCAAGGGGGTTCCTGGAAGGATGTAGGCCTCCGCCACAGCAGCAGCAACAGCGATCAGAGCAGACTTTCGCAGCATGGCGCTAGCCGCGGAATGGAATCCTACCCTTTTAAGCCCCTTCCCCTCGGCCACCCCTACCCCTAGTCTGACTCTGAACCCCCAATTCATTGGTTCAAGGACCGGGTTCATTCCAATAGACCTACCTATGCGAAGCACCCTCCACGTCCTCCCACCCCTTCGTTTGGACAGGATCCACCCCACGATCCACCCCACCCACTGGATCCCCTCTATATACCCTCTATTTTATAGTCATCCTACCCTACCCACCCACCTACCTGAGACATACACGCCTTATATATGGCCCTCCCCCAATCCAGCCTCCGCTTTCTACACGGAACACCACCTCCCACCCCCCTTTCTAGCTCTCAATACCCTCCGCTCGGACCCTAACGTGTTCTGTAGATGACCCCAACCCACTCGATCGTATCACACCCCCCCAAATCACATAAATTAAACCGGACTTTGAAGTAAACTCAGTCACCCCCACCCCTACTGAGGGACTATCTCCTCGAACCACGTCATCCACCTTCCACCGTCCTACACGCAAAGAGCGATTTTCAGGTGTTCATTTCTATGGTCTTCTCCAAATGATCAGTTGTTTGCTCTAAAATTTCAATTTTGTGGAAATATTTCATTGGCAACACAATCATGAGCGTTCCTCTACTGCTGCTTTGGGGTCATGGGTCCGATCACCCCTACCCACCTTTTATCGTGTCAACATCCCTGTGTCTACCCCTACCCCCTCTTATGTGCTTGTCCCACACTCCCGGTTGTTCGGAAGTTCTAGAACTGTCACAGTAGAGAGAAGCCTCCGACGCGCAGCCTCACTTGAAGTCTCACAAGCAAGTTGGCCGACTAGCCTGGCAGGCACCCCGGACCGTCGACGGTCCCCCGGATGCCGCCGCTGTAAACTATCAGTAGGATTCACTCAGCAGTCAGTGCGGGGGCCCGGGCCCGGGCGGCGGGCGGGCGGCCCGCCCGGCCCGGGTGGGTGCCCGCCGCGGGCGGCGGGCGGCCGCCGGTGATCGGACGGTCGGACAGCGGCACTGCCAGCCGCAGGGCGGCGAGCGGCCCTTGCCGCACCCGGTACTACCCTGAACGTCTAGCCGCCCGTGACCGTACCGCGGCGTACCCGGTGGGCACCGTGGGCACGGTGGCATCGGATCAGTGCTCCTGACAGCTCAGAGGCACTGCATGATCATCAGGCGGCCACACGCCGGTTTCCGAGCCGCTGAGCTGTCCGAGTCTTGCCATGCACAGTAGCCCGCGGCCCGGTAGCGGCCGGGCCCCCGGGCCCGGCCCGGCCCTAACTTGCCGGGCGGTGCCGCAGTGAGGCTGGCATGCTGCCACGGGCCCAGTCAGTCATTACGAGGCCCCACTGTTGATGATGGCCCGGGCATGACGGGAGTCGAGTTTTTAGTAGTGACTCCGGGCACGGTTCAGTAGCCCGGGCCCGGCCCAGGCCGCAGTAAACGCCCTGCCCCGCCGGTCTCTGAATTCAATATCGTTGGTGATCTTGTTTTTTTGTCACAGATCTTTTTCTTTCATCAGCCGCTTCACGGCGGGAGGTTCAAAAGGCGGCGACTCCTTCATACCACCCCCAAGGATACCCCAAGTTTCTGACCCCTTGACCCGCTCAAGCACCGGTACTCATACTCCTTATTTTTCAACATGAGAATTTTATTAAAAAAAGTTACCCCTTTGACTTGCTAGGTTTTAAAACCCATGAAGTACCCCCCTTTGAGACTGGAATTCACCCCTCCTTTCGGAGCTGTGCACCCCTGCAAATAACCTAATGTACCCCTTTGGTCCTCATCATCAAAAGCGTACCCCTACCATGTATTAATCAGGCTTACTACCGGGTGGTAGGGGTAAAAACTTTATAGGAGCAAACGGGATCCCAAATGTTACGCCCGCAGACTCTCATTTCATGACCACCCATCATTTCCCTACTGACTACCCCACTTGACATGGGGTCAACCCCCCACCATGTGAATAAAAGGATGCAAGGGTTCCCAAAGAGAGCAGAGGAAGTCGGTGGGCAGTGACCAGAGAAGCGGGAACGAGGGGAAGCTCTATGGTGGAGGAGATCATGTAAACATAGCAGACGAGTGATCCTGAGGAACAGAGGAGCCGGTGAGGGGGAGTTGGGAATACGAGGAGAACTTAATACTGGCAAACGCAGAACAGAGATTGTTCTAAGTATTGGATAAACTCCAGAAAGAGAGAATTTTCTGTTCACGGCGCAGGTAGACGAGACAGGGATTAGTAAGGATAGGAGACTAAAAGGTTGCGAAACTCGAGGGACATATTGTGTTGTTGCTGCACTATTGTTCCTGATATTTCTCAACATAGGTTCCGGAACAGAGCACACAAGTAATCCTTAGGAACGAGAAGAATACATGCATCCCCATTCATCTACCAAAACTGAAGTTGGCCCCTCCCCCGCAATTGTTTCTCGTTCGCGCGAGGCACATATATTTCCGCGAAGGAAGCATGGAGAAACAGAGAGGATTCATCGGGAGATCATTGTTGATCGCGCCACAATAGAGCGTCTGTCTTCCATCAAGCAATCCGACGCAGCAAAACAACTGGTAACCATCACCAAAACTTGTCGGATTCCCAGAGTGACATGTGTTTCCACAGGGAATCTCCTTGACAGCTCTCAAATGTGCATGTCGTCGATTTGGTGTTTCAAGATGGCCGTATGCAAAGAGCAAAGATTCGAGCGAGAAGATAAACAAGACCTTTCTTCAAAATACTGGAGTTGATGATTTTGAGCGACATTCGCTTCATAGCACAACTGCTTACAGATTGGGCGCATTCGAAGTAGACCATTCGCTGTTTCTTGAGACCAGCTTCAACAATACTTTTGATGATGCGTTGGAGTTTATCGAAGAAACTTTGTATTCACATCATTCTGGGCAGCAAAACGAACACTGATTGATTTTTTTCTGATTTATTCGTTGAAAAAGAGAATTTCTAGAATGCAACAGAACTCCGATTACAAGCGAGAACGTCATACTGTGACTAGTAATCTCCCCGTCAAGTATATGTAAATAGACACACAAAAAGATGATTTGGCCTGACCATGCAAAGTCGCACTTAATGTTTTCCAAACATTAGACCTTGCAGCCTGATTGGCCTGTCTTGGAAATGTCGACCATCACTGAACCTTCGCCATCCACCTCAACGGAATAAACAGTTGCCGGAGAATGCTTGGGCCCACCCATCTGATTCACACGATTACGCTTAAGGAGTTGTTATGAAGCCATCTACACTCACATTCCCGACCACTCCCCCAATGATGCCTGTTCCTGGAATTCCAAGAAAGCTCTGACTCCAGGCAGCGCACTCTCCAGTCTTCAAGTTAAATTTGCTGCAAACACAATTAGAAACCATTTCTTCCACATCATCATAGTTTTGTTTTTTTGGCCAACACCTCTGGTGAAACTTGCAAGTGATGACTGGTCCTTGTCCATCGTCTGTGATCTTGCCCTAGACACAAGTTTCAAATGTTTCATGTTTCCAGCGTAAATGTCTGTTGGTTATCACCGACTTCAAACTGAGTCCAAGGTGAGGACACTTAGGATTGAGGGCATAGATTGTGTTCTCGTGGTTGACAAGGAGAACCTCTTGTTCGCCGACCTTGACCATCTTCTTCTCACCTAAAAAGATGGCATTTTCAACGACTATCGAACAAAGGTTTACTTTGAATCAGTTGACACTGTTTCAAGTGTGTCTTCAAGAGTTGAAGGAGTGGTAGGCGCCGAATAAAGCTTACCAGAAGGTATCTCATTGACCTTAGCAACCTACACCATGCAAGATCATACTGATATCAAATGGAGAATTATTTCTTTAGTATAACTTTGAACCACACATTTCACCATAATGAATGATACTATATTCCTCTTTGGTTCCTGGATCTATTTCCATATTTCACACACAATTCGTGATTTCTTGTACTGATAAACCCATGAGAACAAACAGCAGACGAACAAGTATTCTCAAAATCATGGCACAAGTATCATACATTCGTGAAGGACATAGAACCGAAAGAACCTCTGAACTCACCTTCGTCGATGCCATTCGCCTTCCTGCGCGATAAATCGCTCCGATAGGAGCTCCATTTGCCCTCAACAACTTCAGCATTCCAAGCGCCCTATCATCCACTACCCTTCTAGCAAACGTCGAATCATGTACCCTACCCATGATTTTCATTTTCTACCGGGTTATTTCGTATGCATTTCGGTGGAATATATATGGACGCATTGAACCCCCACCCCACAGTATTGCACCCCCACCCCCTCTTTTGTATAAACCGATACAATTTGTCAGCAAATTGAAACGTTTCATTAAAAACAACATTTTAATTTTGTGGATCGCCGGGCCCGAGCCCGGTCGCTAGTGCTGAGCAAAAATGGAATGAGGGAAATCGAAAAAAGCGGGATGGGATGGGATGGGATGGAGACTCGACATGACATGACATGACATGACATGACATGACATGACACGATATGAGATGAGATAGGGTGAGATGAGATAGATTCGTTCCAACATCAATGTCTCAATATCTCATCATGAGACATCTTGCCGTGCTGAGTATTACTCTAATGGTGTGCTCAGCCAACATCGTCATCGAGCACCCTATCAATGGCTTCGAGACTCTGGACGATTTTGTGCTTGTTCAATTCACCACATCTTTATACTCGTTGCCAGACAGTGAAGATTATGATCCCTTCTTCCTTCTGGACAACAACCCAATCAGAATCAGTCGGGAGATGTTTGACACTGGGACAGTGGAGATGCATGGGATAGACCTGGGCGGGCACAGAGTGAGGATGCTGGCAATAAACAGAAAGACGAGGAGGGAGATTTCCAGCAACGATATTGTTTTCTGGCGCGTCTCTTCACTCCCAGACGATCCCTTGACAGATTCTGACCCTTCCAAGTGGCTGGTATACGGAGACATGCTTCAGGGAGGCGTCATGGGCGATCGTGCCGAGCTCTTTCTTCAGCCTCGCGACCGATTCGGGAACAATGTCACCGCAAGGGAAGAGGTTGCTAGCCTGCACGTGGAGGTGGACCCTTTCCCAGTGGAGCAGAAGATGATTCTTGAGGAGACAGGACGGGTACATGTGACGCTGCGGTGGAGACAAGTGAGAACATGCTTGCCGTCATTCTGCTTGTAAGTCGTTACCTCGCAGGTCGGGATGACAAGGATATCCATGAGGATACAGCCGGACGTCCAAGTTGCTGCGAGTCCCTACGAAGTCTTTGTTGGGGAGACTTACCAAGTAGAGGTTGCTCAGTCCAAAGTTGCGCAGAATGAGGATACTGAGCGAGAGAAGAGCAGGAAGGATCCGGTACCTGATCCGTCTTGTCACAGATACGCTTACGTGACAATTCTCACCAACGATGCTTTCTGCAAAGGAGTGTTGGTTATGCACTACACGCTCAAGCTCACCAACACGTCCTATCCTCTCATCTGCCTTGCAACTCAGCAAGTCTCCGAGGGTTGTCGTGAGCTCATCACAGGAGTTGGGATGCGGCTGATCGATGTGCATGCGATCGCCAACCCGAACGCACATCACAAGCAGCATTTTCGTCATGTCTATTCGAAACTGCATGTCTTCGGACTCACCGATTTCGACAAGGTCTGTAACCTTTCAATGTTGTCGAGTCGTTGATTGAGTTGTGATCCAAAGGTCGTGTACCTTGATGCCGACATGCTCGTTCTGCGAAACATCGACCACCTTTTCCAGTATCCCTCCTTGTCTGCAGCCCCAGAGATAAACCCCCCAGCCCTGTTCAATTCCGGTGATTTCAATGCATTGCCCGGTATGTCATGTCTTGACTGATCTTGTTAGGTCTTATGGTCTTGAAGCCTTCCCACACGCTTCTCCGCAAGCTCATGCAGCTTGCAGCTCTGATTCCGTCCTATGACAAGACAGATCAAGGGCTCTTGAACGAGTTCTTTGCAGGTGAACGAAGCAAAACACCCCAGACAAAATCTAAAGGACTTGACAGGACGATGGCACATGCTTCCTTATACCTACAACTTTCTCAAGGTCTTAACTGTCGTCCCTTCTCGCCTCTCTCTTTCCACATCGCCTTCTCTCTCATTGTCTTCATGATCCTTCTCCCTCTCTTCGTTTCCTCGTGCTCATTGTGGTCACTCTCATTCTATCTCACTTTCAAGCGTACAGGACCGTGGGGCCTTGCCCGATCGCTTCGATGGTTTTGTCCAAAGAGACTTGTCGGAGGTTCACCTGAAATTCTTCCCAGCTTGTGTGACTTCTTGAGCAGGTGTATGTCGTTCACATGGTTGGAGAGAAACCATGGCACTGCAGGCGAGACCATGAATGCAACTCACAGGCTTGCTTGATGTTTCTTCATCACAGCTCTTGGTAACAAGACATGACAGGGTCGTTTGTCTGCTCAGCTTTGGAGCTTGTGGCTGGAATATTTCCACCAGATGTGCAAGGTGAGCTGGTGAGCTCGTTGCTGTGGACCTTGACATCTGTGTGTAGCGTTCCTCTCAAATGTTGAATTGCACCGATCGGTCAAAGCGCCTCTGATATCTTTGGCAATGGTTTGCAGGGGGTAAAATATGTATAGAACAACCTTAACAGTGAATTATCAACTGTGAGTTCCTTTGACACAACAATCAGATATTCTACAATGTTTAATATCTCTACAATCCAAATATTTTCTTTGCTCTGAAAAAAAAAGCTTAAAAAGTAGAAGGAAGCGAAACTCTTATTGCACCTGTCCTGAGAAAAGAGGGAGGAATTTCTAACACCCAAAACGTTCAAAAAACTGCAACGAAGATTAGGATTCTTTGTCGAAAGGTACATGCAAGACAGCACAAATAGAAAGAGCAAGCGACGCAGCAAACTCATATTCTTACGTGTTGACATTTCCGTCGCCAGCTTCGCGATATGACTGTTAAGCCACCCTCAGTCAACCCTCATGTTCTGCAGCATCTCCTCACCAGTACACGAGGAGAGACTTGTACATCCTGCGCAACCCGTTCAAGTCGCTGCGTTTCTGCCCTCTTTGCACTCGAAGCATCAGGACCGTTTCGCTTGAAATCCAGATAAGTCAGATACAAGAATCATTGCAACTACAGGCAAAACCTTGGAAAATTCTTGTTTGTGAGAGCCTGGAAGCTTCTTTGAGAGCACAGGTGTTTCACTCCGATGTGACATTTGTTCAGAGATTTCGGATTCATGGTCATTGCCAGCAAGCCGATGATGAGCATTGGTTGTAGAGAATTTCCTTTGGCTGTAAGGAGTCAGAAACGCTCTAAACACCTTGGATGAACCCACTCGACGCTGTCCTTGAGATTTGCAAGATCCGATTCGATTTGATCAATCTTGGATCTGAAACATCTCATCTCCCGGAGGATAGTTTGACATAATTGTGGGACTGACGACGAAGGGGTGTTTCTGATCAACAATAATCAAGTCCAATCACACACCCAATAAAACCCTCACGTCGTATAAGCGTCATCGTCATCCTTTTCATGTGGATTCGTCGACTCGAGGCCTTGGCTCCCTGGGCATTTTGAGTGAAACAAGACGGACCGCTTCGAAACACTCACTGTCCTTCGTCGAAACTTCGAAAAAGACGTTGTTGATGAGATGGCCGCTGTCGTAATTGTCTCCATCACCAGCATTGGCAGGGGTGTTGGATCCATTTTCTGCCATGTCAAATTCAGTCGCTTGCGTATATGCAAATCCTGATGACCTTTTCTCGGCTTTGATTTGATGGTACTCACAGCAGAAGGAGAAACAGAAGAATCATCGAACCTTAGCATGATTGATTTTAGTGCAAACACGACCTCTCTCATATTCTCGCTGTTCCACTGTCCGGTTGCTGCATCCATGATCTTCAACAGCCTTTCAATTTGATGTGCTTGCAGTGCAGATTTCAGCACCGATTTGAACTCATTCCTACCGATTGTGCCATGCGAGTCGCACAACGATGCTCTCTCCACAAACTTTTGCCAGTCTTGTCTGGATATGATTGCAGGCGGATGAACCTTGAGAGCTTGCAGACCATTCTTCAGCGTCTCGAAATCCAGACGAGCATCTGCTGAGTGACCCTGCGTTCCTGCAACTAGCTCAAAGATCATGTCCGCTTTCTTCTCATATTCATGGTCGTCCCGACAGAGCCCGAGGGCCTCATAAAAGGCTTCAAACGGATTCGTTCTCAGGCTGAACAATGCATCGAGCTTTTCTTCGGAGGGCGCATCAGACACTTTGGAGAATTCTTCCAAAAGCACAGCGATGACGACCTGATGGACAAGAGTTAAACCCATTTCGTATCTCAAAGCAAGATTTGAAGACCTGGAAAAGAATCAAAGCGACGATAAGCATGAAAGAAATGAAGTAGATGGTTATGCTGGCTTGTGAAACGTATCCATCTTGTTCTTGATACAAAGTTCTGACAATGTCAGACCATCCATCAAATGTGCTTGCCTGAAACAAGGTGAACATTGCAGTACTAAACGAACCAAACAATTCAGGACTCCGATCTGAGAAGAAGGAAACTCCCATGATTCCATACATCGCAATCACTGTAGCGGTGAGGAGCATCGCGTTGAGCATGGCAGGAATGGACTCATACAGCGCGACTATGATCTTTCTTAACGAAGGGAGACGATTGAAGAATCTTATCACACGACCAGCTCTCAGCAACCTCAAAACTGCAGTTCCTCCCCCGCCATCGCCAAAAATTGACCACAACGAAGTACCAATCACTAACATATCAAACCAGTTCCATCCACTCATGAAGAAAGGAATCCAGAGGGTGGAGAACATGTTCACCACAAGCTCAAAGCAGAAGAATCCCACAAAAATCATTTCAAGAGTATTGAACATAGAACTGATGCCGCCTCCAGTAGAAGGTTGTAGCTGCGTTTCGATCGCTTGCGAGATGAAGTTCAGGAAAATGACGAACGCAACAGTGAGCTGGAATTTGTCACTCAAGTACCAGATGTGAACAATTTGACGAAGCTTTTGAAAAAGTGGAGGACTTGGCTGATTTCTTGAATATGAAATCGCCTCCTTGATCCCATTCATCCACCATTCTTGAATGTCTTGGTTTGGAGTTATGAATCCATAAGAGCAGGGACTCTTCAGCGGACTCCCATAGGTAAATATCATGAATGATCCATGCAATTCTTTGTCATCCTTACGCGTGAAATGGTTTTGTGTAAAATTGAACGACTTTCTCCGAAAGAAAAAGGTGAGGTTGCTTTTCGCAAGATCTCGCTTGCTTTTGAAGGGCATGGTTCTGGTGCATTCCTTAAACACATTCCACACTTCAGAGACTCGATAGATCACTCGATCGCTTATATCGTTCGAGTCTTCCATCGTCATCATGAGATCTTCTGAAGGTGACCATGTCCTCACGTCATCTATCATACCCAGCGGTACCCTGAGAATAGGCTGAGAATGTCTCTCCTTCCTGATCTCCAGGACTTGATCGGTTACTGTAATCCATCTGCTTGTCAGCTTTCCATATCTGCAACACTCGATGGCCTTTCCCTCAATGAAAACCACGTTTCCAACATTTTCACCCTCCCTTTCCCCTTGATCTGCTTCTGTCCCGACGATTGCACTCGTCATGAATGAAATACTTCTGAGAACCCCGTCTTTTACTCTTCCAATGAATTTTCCAGATGAATCACAGCTTTCAACGACACTGTTATACATTCCAAATGTCAGCCAACGCTAGATCAGAGTTTTCCACAGGGTTCACACCACAAATTACATGTGGGCAACAGAATGCAAAACACGAACTTCTGACCTTCGATGGGGAGCACCCCGTCTTGAATCATTTCGAGGTGGCAGACGATCCTTGCGTTTCACTTGAGCATGGCGTTCTCCATCGGCATGATCTTTCCCGTGGTTGGCTGCTGCATCGCCATCTTCATACCCCTCTGCCATCGCGGCTACAAAAAGCTCAGCAACCCGCCTCATCACCCGTTCGATGCCCACCCGGTAGTCCCCCGGAGTATTCACCCACCCCCACCCCCGAGCATATCCATTCCTATCACCCCTGGTTGTACAAGCATTTGCCCTCGAGTTTCCTCCTCTACACCCGTGGTAGCTACTATGGTAGGCCCGGGTGATAGACAGGGCTGAAAGGGTCAGTGTCAGGACCGGGTGGGGTAGAGATAAAATTGGACCGGGTGCAGGGACTCGGCCTTGATATACTGACCACCCTACCAGTGTACTGAAAGCAGGATCAGACCCGGGTAGTCGCCGTCCGGGGGTACGGTACGGTAGTCACAGCTGTCTCCCGAGTACCACCCCACCCCACCGGCACGGCCGTCGGCGAGCCGATGTTTTCACTAGTTTACAAAGACATTGCGTGCGCAAAAAAAACAATCGGCTACCCCCACGATTGTCCCGGTGTGTATCCCCCGGCCCCGGGTCGGATCGGAGCCTCGGAGGCCCGGTGCGCCGGCGCTGGGCCCGGGCAGCGGCTGGGGCCAGTACGGTGTGCAGACTTGTGGTTCAGATTTTTACTCAAGATTTAGTGTTGGCCGGTGACTCCACGCGGGGCATGGAAGTGCTCTGACGGTCCCACCAGTGATGCACAAGCGGCAAGCGGAGAGGGAGAGGGAGAGGGAGAGGGAGAGGGAGAGGGAGAGGGAGGAGGGGAGGAGGGGAGGAGGGAGGAGGGAAGGAGGAGGAGGAGGGAGGAGGGCGGA